GTCAAATTGAAATTATTGTAAATATTCTGTTGTTTTCATGCACTATTTACATGAACATATTGCATGTCTTAATTGCTCTACTTAGTGACATAATTATCTTAAGCAGTGTATGCTTCCTTTTAAATAACTACACAGCCTTGTTTTCTGATCTTGTAAATTTTTTCCTATTTTTCTGTTTTCACTTTCACACCTTTGTATAAATTCACATCCTTCCATCTGCCTGTTTCTTTGCTGCTGAGTTAAAAAGTAAAGGATATTTCTATCCTATTTAATCATGATAACATAAAAATAAACATTAAAAAGAGGAATATTGAGCATCTTGTGAAATTATTCTTTGGAATCAGTTTTACAAGAACTGTGGACCTTTTAACACATTCTAACTTTATCGTCTTTTGGCCTTAATACTCAGCAGGAAAATGTTTTTTTTTTTTTACTTGAACGGTTTAATATTTGGCCAAGCTGAATGTAATAATTTACCTTATACTAATGTAAACCATCTGGTTCTAATCCCAGTAATAATAACTGAGTCGTCTGAGAACAAAATGTTCTGCAGAAGTTTCGAAAAGAAAGATTTGCATGACCTGAAAGCTTTCAGGTAAATATGAGGAAGCTTCAGCTGTTATTATTCTTCTTTTGTTCTGCTAAAGCTGTGAACCAAACAAAGACATTCAGGTATTGATGAGGAATGGAAACTCAAAGGAGCAACAATCCGCTGCATTCTCAGGGAGTGGCAACTTTAAACTCTTTGCTTTCTTTGAAATAGAAAGTACTCCTGGATCAGGGCGTCTTCGCGTTTTTGTCTCTTCTCAAACCTCCAGGAAGATGGCCGCTCGTACTCAGCCTGGTTCTGGTTCTGCTGGAGGTTTCTTCTTGTTAATGAGGAGTTTTCCTTTCCACTGTGGCCACATTTATCCTCAGGATGAGGGATTGCTGCTAAATCAGCGACTTGATGCAGCAAAATGAAACTGATTTGAATAATAACTGGACTTGATGATGATTATATCAGATTAACCAGAATCTGGAATGAAATGCCTGCAGATGACATGTTGTTTTACAATATGAATAAAGTGAATGTAATCAAACTCAGTCAGATTACAAGATACTGTTTGGATGGAGAGAGAAAACACTTCCAACTCGGCCTTTAAGATGTCCTGTGTTTCAAATGTATTTGAAGTTCATCACTGGCTGCATTGAGAGCTTGGCAGAAATATTCTCCCCAAATCAGATTTACATTTTCTCTCAATGTTAAGTTTTTTTTTTAGCAGAATTGTAATTGTTTTGGTTATTATCAGGATGGCATTGTGTATGAATGAAGCCTTATCAGTAAATTTGCATATCTGAACTCTGCCAAACAGTTTAAAGAAATAAAAATCTCATGTTAATAAAACCCTGGACTTCATCTGGACCTGAACATTTTCACAGAGTTTGGCTTAGAAGTCAGACTCTACATAAAACTAGAGCAGAGCTGCAACATTTCCTACAACTCATGAACTCAAACTACCAGCAAAAGATCTGAGAAAAGTTTTGTTCTTCACCCTCATTAAAGGCACACTGCAACACTTTAGCTTATTTCCTGATATATATGTCATTAAAGTTTAGTTATTCTATTCTGTTATTAATGTGACAGATTATTTTGTGAAAATATTTAAGATAAAACTTGTTTAAAGTTGGGTTATAACATTCCCAATGTTTCCAGTATTCCCAGTGAATTAACAGATAAGATTATAAACTTCTGTCTTTTGGGACATTGAGAAGCTGTAAAATGTAAATAATAATAAATCTGATGTGGATTAAAAATATATTATAGACACTTTAATTCATTTAAACATTTAGTACTGATGTTGGATCAGCCAATTATATCGTCTGAATTTTCATTTTCAATGCAGAGCAAACAAAATAGTCAGGCTGGTCATTTCTACTGGTTTTTAATTTCATTTTATTTATTGTATTTTGTTTTAGTCACTGCAGCAGCCGCCCCTCAGCAGTTGGTGCCCTGGGCAAGAGCCGGTATGTCAGCTAATCTGCAGGAAACTGAAACATGAGGATCACCGCATGCTGCAAACCTGGATCAGGAAACTGGTCGGTTCTGGTTCTGTTTGGTCAGTTCTGGTTCTGTTTTATCCGTCCTGGTTCTGTTTTATCAGTCCTGGTTCTGGTTCCGGTCGGTGAGATCTTGACTCACCTCAGAATGAAACTCGTCCCGTTGGGCTGGAATGTTGCTGTTGTGTGTTCTTCAACTTGACACCATCGGCCCAAAAGATCCTGGTCCGTTGGGACCGCAGCCGACCGGTCCAGTTCCGTACACACCCACCATCACAGATCAGACTGGACCGGTTCTGGTTCTGACAGACGTTTCTGCCGTTTTGTCGGTGGTAGAAAGTCACCTGCAGATCCGACAAACAGGAACTAAACATCCAGGTGTTTCTGGAAAACTTGGAACTCACTGAGAGTGTCTGTAATCAGAACTGTGACGATGATGATGATGATAATAATCATCATCGTAATGGAAACTGGGTTCCTGTCTAAGAAAGAAATTCAAATAATTTACTTTTGTCCTTTTTTTCTGAGGACTTTGTTGCCTTTTGACTCGGTTTTATCCCAATAAATTAGATATTTAGATTGTTTGATACCAGTCTATTCAGATAAATTTATGAAAATACGAAAATGTCGGACAGCCAGAAAATATGATTCATGATGTAACTGCTGGTCCTGGTTCAGGTCTTTTCCAGTTTGGCCTTTTATTTAAGCATCATCAGTTAAAATAGTTCAAACTAAACAAGTTCAGCTGAGGAATATTGAGGTTTAGGAACTGAACGTGAATGAAAAAAACAACCAAAGTCCAGAGAAAGCCTTTAGTAAGCCTTTAGAAAGCCGGTTTAAAAAATGAGACATGGTAGTCGAGTTGGATCGTGACTACAATCATAATCTGATTTCCTTTGGATTTACATCAGAGGTTGTAAACAACACATTATTTGACCTGGAAGTATTTTCTTCAGTTTAGGTTTTATCTGGACAGTTGAATAAGATTCAGACATTTTCTTGACATAAGTCATCAGATGCATCAGGTCTGAGTGACACGCAGGTGTTCAGCGTGCCAAAAATCACTCCTTTGTTTATTTGTGTCTCTTCACCTGACGCGGCCGTTTGGTTTCTCGCCTTGTGAAACAGAATGTAGTGTCTCCCACAAACTCAAACTTCAGTTGTGACACAAAATGCTTTCTGATTTGTTTAGTTCTGGTTAATGAAGATTGAGGATTTGTTCCTGTCTTCAGTTTGGTAGAACATTCAGAATCTGAATCAGCTCTGTGTTTAGTGATGTTCTGTACCTGGTAAGTCCCATCTGCGTTGGCCTGCAGCGGCGCCAGGTTGATGCTGTCTCCATAAAAGCTGCTCGCTGAGCTCGTCCCCAGCAGCGCGACCAGCAGCAGCAGCACGGCTGCTCCTGCCTCCATGATGCCTCTCCGGTCGGATGTGTTGCTGCCAGAGCCCAGCCCGACACTTTCAGCGTCGCAGACGCAGGAAGCAGGAGGCGGTTCCCTCAGCGTTCATCCAACAGGTCTGACTGGATCTGATCAAACTTCAAACCTTTCATGCTGCAAAAAACACTGACGTGAAAACGTTTACAGCTGGGAGATGTAATTAACTGAGCCTAAAGTAACTCTGCAGGTCCATGGGAAAATATTCACTCTTCTCTGCTTTCTTTCATGATGCACAGCTGTTTAAAATAATTTTGGAGAATTTCAATGTCCAGACTTTGACTAGGCCACTCAGATGGAGCCTTACTGGTGTGTCCTGGTCCAACAAAGTTTAATCTTAAGGTTGCAAACTGGAACTTCACCATGGTGGGGCATGCTGTGTTGCTATTTGAAATCTTTTAGCCTACTTCATGCTGTCAGACTGGCTCTGTTTCGTTTATTTATTGGCTCTATGGGTCCGACAGGCCAGAGTGTGATCAGTGAAATAAACATAAAGAAGCAGCTTTCACTGCGGAAACCCCGAGTTCCTTTAAATCAAGGCTAAAATCCACCTGTTCAGCTTGCTTTTGAACTATAGTGAACGGAAAATCGACCGACTTATTTGATCTTGATGATGTCACTTGACAAAATGTAATGATTTCTGGTTTTGTCAATTTGTGACTTATTGTTTAGAACATTTCTGTATTTTTATGATTTAAAATACTTTGATTGGCCTTGTTGCTGAAATGTTCTATACAAGTGAACTTGATCAATAACTGATTGTTTGAAACTTGTTTTATGTTTGTATTTTCAGTATTTTTGTCCACTAATAAAATTTCTTTTAAAATGTATGACAAATAGGTTAAACTAGAAGTAACTTTTAGTCCAGTACTTTTTGCAAAGTACTGGATTTAAAATGTATTAAATTTGCTTCTGTAATCTCTTTGCTTCTTTTTGTTTCTGTCCTGCCAATTTGAACATGGAACAAGAGATCCTGAAAATATTTAATGGGCTTTCCCTTTTATTTATCTGTTTATTTATTTTCAAACACATGATACAAATCTATCTAAAACTTGCTGCATTCTTTTAACTTTACATGGCTGACCAGTAGTTGTGACCATCTTTATGTCACATTACAGATATAATGCTGAAAAGTCCTGTGGGACATGGTGTCCATATTCATTTCAGTATTGTGTGAGAAATTATATTTGCAAGAGTTATGAAGGATAACACAATAATTAACTTAGTGAAGCAAAAAAGAAAGAACATTTAAATATTAACCGTGTATATTTCCATGGGTTATTTGGTCAGTCATCAATAATCGCGTGCAATAATCCCATTATCATTTTAATGCTGATTGGTTGGATAGAATGACAATATTTATTATTTGGAAACCGTAAATAAATGTAAACAATTTTCTGCCTGAAACGAGTATTTTAAACTGCTGTGGCACAGATTTGCTTTATATATTCATATATATTAATTATTACAGAAGGACTTTCGCTTTTCCATGGTCCGCGCGACTTTCTGTAGTGACGTCAGCTCGTGAAACTTGTCACCCACAGTGGCAAGATGGCTACGGAACCAAATAAGACCGAAATCTTGACGATTTTCAAAAGATTGAGATCAGTTCCCACAAACAAGGTAACGGCATTCGATGTCGTTGATCTGTGTTGTTATTTGAGTTTTCCTTTAACCGGCGTACGGTGGTTTAATTTATATATTTGGTTAGTAGCAGTCAGCATCTGCTGCTAAGTGGAGCTAACGGCAACTAAGAGCTACCGGGAGCTAATGCTTTTCCATTGAAAACTACGGAGAACCGGGGCTAAAGGCTAACAGGAGCTAACAGCTGCTAGCCAAACCCAAAGGCCACGTAAACGGTTCGTGTTTCTCTGGAAGAAAACCTGTTAGCTTCGCTGCTTTGAAGCCTTGTCACCGGAAAAAAACTTACCGGCTTTAATGGAGTATTGTTTTTATCAGTCACAGAAAACAAATATGAATGCCAATATCGAGTTAATTCGCCGCATTGATTGCTTTGCTAATAGTTAAGTCAAAGTGTCTGATATGTTCCAGCCCTTAAACCTCAGTTTAAAGTTATGTCACATAGTTTTCATCAAAGCCATTTCATCTGTATTTGTGGTGTTTCTTCATCCCAGTTCAAACCACATTATCACTGAAACATGACCAGATGGAACAGAAATAAGATGACGTGTAAGTGAACTGTGATTGATTCTACAAAATGTAATAAATAGTTTGGTCTACTCATAATAAATAGTTTGGTCTATTCATAATAAATAGTTTAGTCTACTCATAATAAATAGTTTGGTCTACTCATAATAAATAGTTTGGTCTATTCATAATAAATATTTTGGTATACTCATAATAAATAGTTTGGTCTACTCATAATAAATAGTTTGGTCTACTCATAATAAATAGTTTAGTCTACTCATAATAAATAGTTTGGTCTACTCATAATAAATAGTTTGGTCTATTCATAATAAATATTTTGGTCTACTCATAATAAATAGTTTGGTCTACTCATAATAAATAGTTTGGTCTACTCATAATAAATAGTTTGGTCTACTCATAATAAATAGTTTGGTCTACTCATAATAAATAGTTTGGTCTACTCATAATAAATAGTTTGGTCTATTCATAATAAATATTTTGGTCTACTCATAATAAATAGTTTGGTCTACTCATAATAAATAGTTTGGTCTACTCATAATAAATAGTTTGGTCTATTCATAATAAATATTTTGGTCTACTCATAATAAATAGTTTGGTCTACTCATAATAAATAGTTTGGTCTATTCATAATAAATATTTTGGTCTACTCATAATAAATAGTTTGGTCTACTCATAATAAATAGTTTGGTCTATTCATAATAAATAGTTTAGTCTACTCATAATAAATAGTTTGGTCTATTCATAATAAATAGTTTAGTCTACTCATAATAAATAGTTTGGTCTACTCATAATAAATAGTTTAGTCTACTCATAATAAATAGTTTAGTCTACTCATAATAAATAGTTTGGTCTACTCATAATAAATAGTTTGGTCTATTCATAATAAATAGTTTAGTCTACTCATAATAAATAGTTTGGTCTACTCATAATAAATAGTTTGGTCTATTCATAATAAATAGTTTGGTCTACTCATAATAAATAGTTTGGTCTATTCATAATAAATATTTGGTCTACTCATAATAAATAGTTTGGTCTACTCATAATAAATAGTTTGGTCTACTCATAATAGTTTAGTCTACTCATAATAAATAGTTTGGTCTACTCATAATAAATAGTTTGGTCTATTCATAATAAATATTTTGTCTACTCATAATAAATAGTTGGTCTACTCATAATAAATAGTTTGGTCTACTCATAATAAATAGTTTGGTCTACTCATAATAAATAGTTTGGTCTATTCATAATAAATATTTTGGTCTACTCATAATAAATAGTTTGGTCTACTCATAATAAATAGTTTGGTCTATTCATAATAAATAGTTTAGTCTACTCATAATAAATAGTTTGGTCTACTCATAATAAATAGTTTGGTCTACTCATAATAAATAGTTTGGTCTACTCATAATAAATAGTTTAGTCTACTCATAATAAATAGTTTGGTCTACTCATATAAATAGTTTGGTCTATTCATAATAAATAGTTTGGTCTATTCATAATAAATAGTTTGGTCTATTCATAATAAATAGTTTGGTCTATTCATAATAAATAGTTTGGTCTATTCATAATAAATAGTTTGGTCTACTCAAGGCCACATTCACCATTTCAGATACATTCATGCTGAAGCTGAGTTTTTATCTTACTTTAAAAAATCTTTCCTGAACAGCTCGTTTCTGGCTGATTGCAAATAGTTTCAGAAGTTTTAGATTATAGTTATAGTTGCTATTTGTTTACCTTCTACTTTCAGGTATAATAACTATCATCTGTGGTATTTGGTTTTAGACATGTGTTTAGATTTAAGTCTTTTGCTGCCTGGTAAATATTCATAGATTAAAACCCTGACAGCGACTTGGAACCATGACAAATATTTAAAACTCATAATTATAAGTTAATTTGATGCTTGTGCCTCAGAGTTCTGTCAGCTTAGCAACTATTTTAGCTATTTTATTTTAGGTAGCGTTGTTTAACTTTGTTTATTAAAATAAGATATAACTTAGGAACATGTGTAATGATACATACATGGATATGATCTTCAACATGTCGCTCATCAAGCTCTTTCCATCATTCACTGTGTTGGTAGTTTTGTAACATGTTTCTAAATGACCTGGCGTCAGACTGTAAATGCAGATACATCCTCAGTCTGTGAGGAACAAAAACTGACCTAATAAGTGACTCAACATCTTCAACCATGTTTGAAACTACTTGTTCTTGAAGTTGATGCTTCTGGTTTGTTTGCTACTTTCAAAGATCTTCTATTGTCTACTTGGAAGTTTATTTCTGTTCACTGAATCCGGTTTGACTTGTTCTCATAGGAATCTTAAATCATTTAGGGATGAGTGAGTCACATTGATGAAGGCATTTCCACAAATACTGATGCTGAATTTCACATCACTCACATGTTTGACCTTGAGGTGGATCCAGCTCTGAGGAACACGCTGGTTTCATTTAGCATCTGTTCCCCAACACAGGCTGAGAACCTGAACTTTGTGTTTTATTGCTTAACGAATTCCTGAATCGTTACCTACAAAGTTCAGTCGACATATTTTACTGAGCCAACATCTGTTACTGTCACCACATGCATGTTCAGGAGGGTCAGTGAATCATGAAACAAACTGTTTTCATTAAAAAATTTCCTGAATAGATAGATAGATAGATAGATAGATAGATAGATAGATAGATAGATAGATAGATAGATATAGATAGATAGATATAGATAGATAGATAGATAGATAGATAGATAGATAGATAGATAGATAGATAGATAGATAGACAGATAGACAGACAGACAGACAGACAGACAGACAGACAGACAGACAGACAGACAGATAGACAGACAAGTGCATAATGGACACAGCAAAATGTAAAGCATTATAGAAATTGGTTATATATTTCTGTTTTTCTGGAGATTACCTTTGTTCTGAACCAGAGCTATTTAAATAAACTGTATGGCAAAGTTGCATTAATATAATTTTAAAAATATGTGTATTTTTATAATTTTCTGTTGCACAAATGATCAAATAATTATTGGTCCATCTGCAATCTCTCTCATTTCATCCAGAAAACCTTTGAATACGTTTCCAGGTTTGTCTGTCTTGTAGTTAGAAAATATGCCTAAAAATGATAATAATATGGTAAAAATACTCACCAACATAATAAATGTGCACACAGTGAATAATAATAAAAACACATCAAATGTGCAAGTCTGCACTCTGCTTGACTTTCTCAAACTAAAACATTGAACAAAGTAAATGGACAAAAATACAATTTTTCTTTATTGTTTTTGATTGTCATGTCATTTTATTTTGGATATTTAATATAGTCTTCGGTTCCAGTGTTCAGTTTATTGATCTTTGATCTGATCAGAAACATAATCATTTTACCAACAGCTCTTATGAGACAAAATTAATTAAAACTAGCTTGTTACAAAAATCTGTTCTTTACAGAGCAATTCAGCAGAGGGTTAAATTACCTAAAGACTTTCCATTTAAAAAGAACATTCTTTTAAAATAGCCCTGAAATCTTATTTTTATTAAATATTATTTTTTAAAACTAGCTTTATGTATGTAATTTGTTAAATCTGATGTCTGGTCAATCTTGTGATAATATTGTTGATGTCAAAGTGATCTATGAATACTTTTGTGTTTTGGACACTGGAAGATTAATAACCACTTGATGTAAACTAAAGGGGATTTTAATGAATAAACCAATCAATATATAACTTGAAAATGGTATCAAGACAACAATATTACTTCTTATCGTCCATCAGACTTTATCATGGCAGACCTCCCCATGCTTTACTGTTTAAAGTGTTGTTGTTTTCTGCTTGACTGCTGGTGAGTTTTTCCTCTGCGATGTTGGACATCAGGAAACTTTATTAATTACATTTATTGCCATTTCTCAGTGTTTTTAGCAGTACAACCAGATGATTTGTGTTTTTTGTGCAGGCTTGCTTCGACTGCGCTGCCAAAAACCCGAGCTGGGCCAGCATCTCGTACGGCGTGTTCCTGTGCATCGACTGCTCCGGCATCCACCGCTCGCTGGGCGTCCACCTCAGCTTCATCAGGTCGGCCTCAGACCGCCACCGCTCAGCAGCTTCAGCGTGTAAACGCCGATGAGCGGCTTCAGTCTGACACGGTTCATCTCTCCTCAGATCCACAGAGTTAGACTCCAACTGGAACTGGTTCCAGCTGAGATGCATGCAGGTCGGAGGGAACGCCAACGCGGTAAGATCGCCGCTCTGAGGTCAGCTGAGGTTTGGCCTCCTGGCGCCATGGTAACGCTTTCCGCTTCCTCCTGAAGACGGCCTTCTTCCGTCAGCACGGCTGTTCCACCAACGACACCAACGCCAAGTACAACAGCCGCGCCGCCCAGATGTACCGAGAGAAGATCCGGCAGCTGGCCAACGCGGCGCTGTCAAAGTACGGCACCGAGGTGAGAACCAAGATGGCCGGAGATAAATTATAGAGAATCAGATCTACTGCTAATGCAGAGAAGAAACAGCCTTCATCTCCTTCTGTCTGCTGATACAACCTGAGCTAACAGGATCTTTGACTTGTTACAAAATGCTGATAAACACATTTATCAGTGTGTGTGTGGCTGTGTGTGTGTGTGTGTGTGGCTGTGTGTGTGTGTGTGTGTGTGAGTGTGTGTGTGTGTGTGGCTGTGTGTGTGTGTGTGTGTGAGTGTGTGTGTGTGTGTGTGGCTGTGTGTGTGGGGGTGTGTGTGTGGCTGTGTGTGTGTGTGGCTGTGTGTGTGTGTGGCTGTGTGTGTGTGTGTGGCTGTGTGTGTGTGTGTGTGTGTGTGGCTGTGTGTGTGTGTGTGTGTGTGTGGCTGGTGTGTGTGCTGTGTGTGTGTGTGGCTGTGTGTGTGTGTGGCTGTGTGTGTGGCTGTGTGTGTGTGTGTGTGTGTGCGTCCGTGTGTGTGTGGCTGTGTGCGTGTGTGTGTGTGTGTGGCTGTGTGTGTGTGTGTGTGTGTGGCTGTGTGTGTGCGTGTGTGTGTGTGTGTGTGCGTCTGGCAGCTCTGCACATCCTGTCCAGAGTACACAGGGTGTGTAATCCCTGCAGTAACTTCATAAACGCATCTTTAACATTAGAATAAAAAGAAAAGTGATAATTGGAGTAATAAAGTTCTGCTGCTGTTGCAGCTGTGGATCGATTCGTCTGCAGGAGGAGCGTCTGCCGCCGCCGAGAAGAAGGACGACGATTTCTTCGCTGAACATTCACAGGTTCCACTTGTTCCCAACTTTATTTAAGAAGCTACTTCCACATTTAGTCATAATAATAGAAATAATGATGATAATAATAGCACACTTTATTTAAAATATGAGGATGTGAGAATAAATGATGAATAAAAACATTTTTAATCATCTGTTTGTAAACAAAATACACTAGCACTGAAAATAAAATATTTAACTGCAATATTATTCAATTCCTTCAGGGTTAAATTTTTTTGCCAATCAAAATCAATGAACTTGTGGTGATACTTTATATTATGAAATCTAGATATAGAAAAAAAGATTAGAAGCAGACTGGACCCCAGAAATTTTTCTGTTTTGAAGAACTTAAAAAGCTCAATTTTTGCAGTGATTTGTTGAATTTACATAAATTTCCACGATGGCAGAATTACGAGAATCTATACAAACTAATTATTGTTGAGAAATGAGATGTCAGGTTGTAGTTAAAGTTGCCAGCTCTCCAATCAGCCTGACTATCTGAGAATCAGCTGTTTGGGTCAGAGTCCATCCAGCTGAGCCCAACATCGCAGCCTGCAGGTCATAACAGCCCAGCAGGGGGTGGCACTGATTGTTCTGGTTAAAGCTTCAGAGAACAACATCCGTCACCTGTCAGCCGGGTTGGAACTGAATCATCACCTGTGCATCTCTTTATTCATCAGCAGCCTTTCTTCTCTCTGTTCAGTTTTCTGATGAGTGGAGCATAGCGCCCCCTGCAGAGCAGAACGGAGCCGCTGTTTGCCCCCAGCTGACCGACCCGGCGCCGAAAGCCCAGGATGACGGCCGTAAGTGAAGCACAGCAGTCTGAGTTTTCACCTCGACGGTTCCTGCTGGTGATGCAGAACTTCATGTGTCCTGTGTGTTTAATCCCAGGATTTAACCGGATTACAGGAGATGAAGCAGGAATATCAGAAAGACAAGGAGCACTAAGCTTTTTACAAACACTCAAACCTTTAGTTTCACATTAATGGAAACACAAGCAGGAGCTTCTCCTCAGATTTCATGAATTTTTCAGCTCAGATGAGTTAAAATTCATCTTGTTTGACTCAAAACAAGAGTTTGTTTGTTTGTGTTTGTTTGTTTGTTTGTGTAATAACCCTAAAACTAACTGCAGTTGTAGTTTTTGATCATTTGGACAAATTTTTGGGGAAAAAACGTTGCAAATTCTGCAGATTTTTAATTTAAGCATTAATGACAGAAAATTAGAGAAGTGTTACAAGATGCAAAAACCCCAAATTTCTCTTAAATAGTAAAACAAACATTTTGTTTCCTAACATGTAATAACAGCAATCTGAACCTAAAACTGGAGTTTTTCAGCCAAAAAGGTTTTTAATCTTTAATGCAAAATGTTTGCATTTTGTGCAGTTTTGGCTTCATTGCAGCTCTGAATATGATTTATTCAGCAAATGGTCTTCTTGAGTCTCCAGTTAAGAATTAATTGATTACTAAATCAGTTCATGATTATTTCAGTAGACCTGAACTGTTTCTGCCCTACAGCGTCATTTTCCTCCAATAGGTTTACATATTGGATGTGAACATATTGGATGTGAACATATTTGATGTGAACATATTTGATGTGAACATATTGGATGTGAACATATTGGATGTGAACATATTTGATGTGAACATATTTGATGTGAACATATTTGATGTGAACATTCTGCATGCCAACAAACATGTTCACCTCTTTGTTAGATGACAATAAATATACAAAAATATTGGAATCAAGTCAAAGCAAACAGATGTTGATCCATCTGTGAACAATTTTTCTTCTTCATATATGCAGTTAGACATGGAGTCGTTACTTTGACTGGACCTCTTTATGTCGCTGTAGACAGTTGGATTCCTGTGTCTTCTCCTGTTATGTTTATGACTGAATATTATCGATGCAGTGAGTGTTTCTGCTCGTCTCAGTCGTGTTTAATCCGTCCTGTGACAGAACCAGAGGACGGGCCGAGCATCGACGGTCTCAGCACGTCGCCCAAAGCCGCCATTGGTGAGTAAATCATCTGATTTAAAGCTTCTGAAGTTCAGAGCTTCTCCCAGTTTCTGAGCCAGAAAGTTTCAGATAAAAACTCTGGGATGTTAAAATACGATTTTATGTTTGAGAAAAACTCTGTGACCAGAAGATCCTACGGAAAACCAGATACTTTCCTAAGTCGACACACGACTGGTTCATCTTTTGAGTTTAGGATGAAATAATTCATAAATCAGAGTAAAAATAATATTTCTTAGGAAATGTTCAGGCCTGGATATGTGAGAAGGAAAAACCTCAGGGAACTGTCAGACAGCCTCATTGTTTTTATTAAACCTTTTTCTAAACAAGATGAAACTGAAAGAGATCAAATATCAGTTTTACTAAAAGGTTCTGGCAGTCACTCACTTAAAACTGTTTCACAGCCTCCATTTTACATTAATAGATGCAAACAAGCAAGTAATTCTTTTTTTTCTTTTAAATAAGCATTTTATAAACTGCATTCCTTCGGTGAACGTTTGATCATTTGTTGCATCTCTATCTAAAAATCCTGACTATGAAAAGGTTGTTTTTTTTATCTTAGGTGAAAATGTTGATATATTTTGTAGTTTTGGCTTTGCTCTGTGTTGTTCTTTTAGAATCTGTGTACTCCAGGTAATGAGTGGATAAAACTCTAAGTTAGTTGATGATTATTTAAATAATCGATTCATCAGTTCAGCTCTAAAACATTTAGCGAAATGTTTCAGAATCAAGAGCCAGGTTGGAGCTTTTATCTGAGCTCAGATGTTCCTGTTTGCTGAGTCTCCTCTGTCTGTGCTGTAACTACGGATGTTGGACCATCTTGGACGGTAGAGGACTCCATGCGTTTGTCCCTGCAGAGCGGCCGGCTGCAGGTGAAGGTTTGCTGCATGGCGTTCCACAGCCTCCATGCTGCCGTGTGGCCCGATGTTTGTTTCTTCCCGACCAGAACATCTTAATCCGGCTGCTTTGTGTGTTAGACGCGGCTTTGTGCCTCTGGCCTTTGTGTGGGTAATAATCGGTTTTATGCTTGAAGCTTTTCAAAAGGAGCATTTTGACATGAACCTGTGACTGACAGACGCTTTATTGACACAAACAATCCCTGCTCTGACAGCTGATTGGTTCAGTTTAAATTCCTCCTCCTCGTCTTGCTGGTTCCCATGAAGCTGCAGGAGACAGAGGAGAAGCGCGGCGGTGCAGCGCGGAGACGACCTGAGCTGACCTTTTACTGCCGCTGTCACACAATTAACCGAATTAAAGACGCATCTACAGCTAAATGTTTGTTTCTGTGATGAAAACATGCTGAGAGCTGAGAAACGATGTGCTGTGTTGCAGATGTGAAGCCGTCCATCATTGGGAAGAAGAAACCCATGGCTGCTAAAAAAGGGGTGAGAATCCAACACTAGATTCTGATTTTAGATTGATGTATTTTCTATAAATGATGCATATCAACCAACATGAACGAATCGCAAGAGGCTAACTTTCATCTGCTGCTGCAGCTCGGGGCAAAGAAAGGTCTGGGTGCGCAGAAGGTGAGCAGCAAAAGCTTCTCTGAGGTGGAGAAGCAGGCGCAGGTGGCCGAGAAGCTGAGGGGAGCAGGTGGCCGAGGCCAAGAAGCAAGCAGAGGAGTCCATGTGAGGAAGCCGCTCCCGCTTCCTGTCGGCGGTAAGTGCGCAGACGTGTGACGGCGCTGCGTGTCTCCGCTGCAGAGTGGCGTCCATGCGGCTGGCCTACCAGGAGCTGCAGATCGACAGGAAGATGGAGGAGAAGAAGCTGCAGAACCTGGAGGGGAAGAAGAGGGAGCAGGCGGAGCGGCTGGGGATGGGCTTCGGCGGCCGCAGGTAACCGGTCCGGTCCGGGTTCTGCTCAGCTCCGTGCCGGTGTTCTGGACTTAAACGTGACTCTGGTTTCCTGTCGCAGCGTCGTGTCTCACTCCGTGATGTCAGAGATGCAGGTGATCGAGCAGGAGACGCCGGCGGGAGCCAAGACATCGTCCCGCTCCAAACTGGACCTGTTTGACGAGCCGGGATTCACCTCCGGACCGCCAAAGTATGACACACACACATATACACACACACACATATACACACACACAAATACACACACACACATATACACACACACACATATACACACACAAATACACACACACACATATACACACACACACATATACACACACATATACACACACACATATATACACACACACATATATACACACACACATATACACACACACACATATACACACACACACATATACACACACACAAATACACACACACACATACACACATATACACACACACACAAATACACATACACACACATACACACACACACATACACACATATACACACACACACATATACACACACACACATACACACATATACACACACACACATATACACACACACACAAATACACATACACACAAATACACACACACACATACACACATATACACACACACATATATACACACACACACAAATACACATACACACACATACACACACACACACATATACACACACACACACACACACATATACACCCGCAGCTCATGTCGATCTGGAATAGATTTGGGGAATCAATCCCCAAATCAATCCCCAAATCAATATCAGATATTGATATTGGATTGGTGTATTCCTAATCAGAACCGGCTGAGCAGCGTGTTCTGACCCGTTCTGCTGTCCAGGTATAAGGACAACCCGTTCACGGTGGGAGACGGCTTCGGCTCGCGGTGGGACGCCGACGGCGGCTCGTTCACCGCCGCCTGGGCTCTGGAGAAGGACGAACCCAAGGAGGAAGTCACCATCTCCAGCATCCAGCCGATCGGAGAGAGGTATCCGCTCAGCCTCACGCGGCCTGACTCTCCGGATCGGCTCCGGTTCTGATGCCGCTTCTCCTTCTGGGTTCAGGCTCCCCAGCCGGAGGAAAGCCGAGGCGTCGTCCGCCGGGTCGGAGTCCAGCGAGGCCAGGCAGAAGTTCGCCAACGCCAAGGCCATCTCCTCCGACATGTTCTTCGGTCGGGAGAGCAACGCCGAGGTGAGCGGCCGTTTGGGCCGGACCCGCTTTGACCAAGCAGAACCCGTCAGCTGACTGTGTTCTTCCTGTCAGTACGAGGCAAAGACGAAGCTGGAGAGTCTGTCGGGCAGCAGCTCCATCAGCTCCGCCGATCTGTTCGGAGACGGCAGCGACAGCAGAGGTGAGACCCGGGGATCATCCCCACGCTGTTCAGGAGTAGGCGGCCAGACCGGCGCCGCCGCGTTCTGGACCGGGCGGCCCGACCGGCGCCGCCTCGTTCTGGACCGGGCGGCCCGACCGGCGCCGCCGCGTTCTGGAGCGGGCGGCCCGACCGGCGCCGCCTCGTTCTGGACCGGGCGGCCCGACCGGCGCCGCTGCGTTAATGCTAGCTTCCTGTGTTTTGATAGGACCTGTTGATGTGATTCATTTTTGGTTGGTTGTCTGCAGAAAGAACAGTTCTTCTGATTCTGGAACTGAATGCCTTTAGCTCGATGCATTTGAACCTCTATCAGTTCCAGTTGTAGTCGCAGAAATCGTCGCCGCTCCAATCAGTCCGGTCGGGTGGCTAACGGACTACTTTCAGCGGCGGACTCAGCGCTGTGCTTCCTCCCGCAGGCCGGGTTTCGGGTTTAGACAGCGTTCTTCCCTCCGGCCCGGACATGGCCCAGTTCAAGCAGGGGGTGAAAACGGTGGCGGGGAAGATGGCCGTCCTCGCCAACGGGGTGATGAACACCATCCAGGTGAGTCATGCGGTGTTTCGCTAGCGTCTCCGCCGCCGTTCTTCTTCTTCACCTCACTGAGACTGGCGTTGTCTCCCAGGACCGCTACGGGTCGTACTGAGCGGCGCCGGCAGAACCGACTGGCATCGCTCCAAACGGAGCGAGGAGACGGGCGAGACGCGGGAAGGCTTGCATGGGAAAGACGGCGTCCCCTGTCCTGTCCTCCACTAGAGACAGTATTTCTTCCCTCATTAGCAGAATCGTGACTTTTATTTTCATAAACCATCAGAAAGTATCGAATCTTTTCTAAAACAGCCGTTGTTTCTGTCCACAGCCTGCTGGTCGTAGATTTTCAACTTGAGGACTTAAATCTTTATTTTCTTTATCCAGAAATTAATGTGATTTTGATTCATAACATTTAAAGTTTTTGTTTTATTGTGATATTAAAAACAAGGCGTCATGTTTTCTTCATAAATCCATCATGTTTAAAAGCTGCTGACTTTCAGTTGAGTTTGGTTTTTTTTCCCTGAGAAGCACTGATTTCAGATCAGTCCTGAGCTGACGGCCGGGCGGTACGGAGACAAATCAGGGCCAGAAAGTTTGTTTAAAAAAAAAAACTTCATGAGAAATGTTTAACTTCCATCTGTTTCAAAATAAAATTTTTTGTTTAAAGTCTGTTTTAATTATTTTTGGTTGATATAAATTTTGTTTTAAATATTTTTCCCAGTATTTATCTTCTAGTTTCCAAATCTATTTTTTTTTTCAGTAACATTTTATATTAAATGTTTTTCACAGTTAAAAATAATCAGTTAAATATTTTTGTTCCAGTTTTTAAATTATTTTTCTTTAAGCAAGATTTATGGCCCTTATGTAGCTCCATATAGCATCTCTGCCCTCTGCTGACAGTTCAACAGCCTTGATGCAAACCGGGTTGGCCCAGCAGGGTCAGAGGTCACAGCTCATGGATGGAGGATCTGACTATGCAGCCCGACTGTCTGAGCCTCAAGTCTGCTAGAAATGACCTCGGATTCAGTTTTTACAGTTTTAAATTTAAAACCACTCAGATTGTTTCTGTTTCAGAACCCGGACCGGGTCGCTGAACCGGGTCGCTGAACCGGGCCGCCGGGTTCTGGGCAGACTCGACGTTCAGCAGTTGTTTGTCATGTTTTTTTGCCCCGATAGAATCCAATCACATGGACTGAAAGGATCAAGATATTTATTTGTAGGCGACAAAAAGAACCGTATAAATAAAGATGGAAAACCCTCAGAGTTTCTCGTTTCTCTTCACTGCCGCCGTCATTTTATTTCTGCAGGGAAATGATTCGCATTAGTTTTGAATGATTGGAGGAGGAGCAGCGGGTCTGGGGACGCGTCGCCGCTCTCCCGCCTGCAGGGCGGGGCAAATCCCTGTGGTCCCGACACCGCCGCCGTGGCGACGCAGGGTAAATCACAGGCCGCATGCCCGATCGCTCCGCTGTCCGCCAAACCGGATCAGAAACAACTTCAGTCTGAGCAAAGCCTGAAATTCAATGTTTCCATTTCCAGTGGGAATGTTCGTCCGGCTTCCAGTCGGATCCACGGACGTTTATCCCCAGTTGTAGAAGTAGATCTTCTGCCAGGTGGGGAGGTATTCCATCAGAGGGCCTGAAAACACGCAGAGACCAGTTCAGACGTCTGCAGCAAAACGACCCAAAGAGCAGAAACCAGGAAGCACCAGGATCCATCTGGTGTCACCACAGCATCCTGTCCAACATGCTCAGCCAACAAATACGAGAATAAACTTACAGGACAAAGACGAAAGTTTGTAATATGAGAATAAACTCATAATGTTACCAGATTAAAGTTGTAATATTGGTAGAAAGTAGTCATTTTATCCCCAGTGCAAAGAATAATAAAAAGAATGTTTGGCGAAAGTTTAACCACGATTCATCCTTTAGCAGCAGAACTGAAACGATCCAATGACCCGACAAGCTTCACTCATCAAAACCAGTTTGAAGAGTCAATTTAAAACTTCCTTCTGACTATTGAGTCTTTATTCTTCTAATTTTATGACTTTTGTCATTTCAACCAAACATCCTCAGTCTGACCCTCGTCCTCCCACTTTTAGTCACTTCGATGGAAAACGCTGAAGTGTCTTCGTGACCCGACTGCGGTACTTACGCGCAACGAGTCCGATTCCCGGAACGTGATCCGCCAGAAGTCTGAGCAGGAAAACAATCTTCTCCCTGCAGACAAACCAACCAGATTTTCACTTCACTGAGGAAAAATTATTTTATGATAAACTGAATTGTGGATTTTCTTTGCATCTCAGCACTTTTTTTAACTGCAGTGTTGATTTTCACTAATCTAGTCGGGTCCACAGCTCGCCTGGACGTTTGACTCACTCGGAGAACTTGTCGTAGAACGGCGAGCGCAGCAGGTAGTAGCACAACAGGAAGGCCCGCCTCCTCATCTCGGCTTTCTCCCATCGGTTCTCCAGCTTGGCGTCGCTGAGGACGGCGAAGCTGCAGAAACCACAGGAGGGTGAGTCACTCTGCCATCCTGCAGGGAGGCAAACTCACTGCTACGGAACTAAATCAGGCCCAAAATGTATGTTTAAAAAAATGTTATGAAAAGTAGTTTGGAATTTTTTTACTGTATTTTTTCCAGTCCTTTGTTCAGTTTAGTTGCAAATTGCTTTAACCCAGATTCCTGTTTATTTAATTTTTGTCTTCAAACTTTATGGCCTCAGCTGATGCAGAGCTGAGGATTTATCTCAGGATAAATCAGTTTGAGCTTTGATTTACCGATAAAAATATTTAAACAAAAAACAAAACAATTATCTCATTTAATTTTTCTGTTTTTCGCCTTATTGAAGATGAAATCCTGTTTTCTGAAAGATTTGATCAAATCCACATGAAGAAATAAGAACAAAAAGCCTAAAAATATGAATTAAGAGAAACATTAAATAAACAGCAGCATCCAGGACTATCCTCTAGACTAGCGTTAGCCAGGAGGAAGTTATTGGAGCAGTTTGTTTACCTGGAAAGCTCCAGGGCAGCAGAGACGAGCCACGGCTTCCACGACCGCTTCCCACAAACTCCGAGACACAGAACTGTCATCCGGAAAACTCAAGGAAAACAGCAGCTACTTCTGACTGAATGATAATAATAATTCAGGTGGTAAAATCTGGTGGAAGGATGACAGACATGGAGGATCCTTCTCCATAACTGATTCACATAAACTTCAGCTGGAACCAGCTGAACCGTTCAGCTCCCTCTAGTGGTGCAGTGGAGCGGTGCAGCCTCAAACGGGATCTATTTTCAGTCGGTGAAGGATACGGTGAACCAGCGGCCGCTGATGTAAACCGACTCGGCCAGCGTCTCCTGGAAGCTGAGCTGTGTCGGCGGGCGGCTCTCCTTCAGCTGCTCCTCCTCTTCCTCGCCGCCGCGCCCCACAGCCGGCTCTGCAGGGCGGAGCTACAACATGGCACATTTCACATGTCACTGAAATCTGTGCTGAAACTTTCCTTTAGTCTGAAACGGCTGATTCCTGTTGTGACACATTTAAACCTGAACCCGAATTATGAGAAAGACACACTGCTGGTTTCCATGGTGATTCCCTCCTTTTCTGGGGAGTTTGGTTAATAATTAAAATTTATTGGTTAATAATAATATGACAACCAGGAAACTTTTCCAGATTACTTTTCATCTTATTCTGTAGTTACAGAAGCAACCAGCTAAGGTTGTACTGAACTATTATGGGATGAAAAACAACTAAACAAAGTGGCAGAAAATAAAAAAATCACAGAGAAGACGCGGAAAACAGGAAACCTAAAGATCCCAACATGGGGATCATTTTTATCTTTACGGCGTTTTTATTGGATTTTATTGGTTAAAAGTTTCTCACCGCTGCCCAAAGGTCTGATCACACGGCCTGACCTTTGACCCACAAAGCAGGCATCATCCTGGTCGTTGAGGTCGTCTGTGAGGAAAACACCTGGTTCAGACAACATTTACTCTGCAGGAGTCCCTCTGGGCTGTGCTCTCAGTCCTGCTCATTTCAAAATGATTACAAAACAACAAAGGATAAAAACTCACAGAACCACAGAATCTTTGCTGGTTTTAAATAAGCAGTTATAAAAATGTAAATGAATCTGACCTTCAGAGACGTATTCGGACCCTCTGTCCAGGGGGATTATGGGAGGTGAAGTCTGCAGGCCGGATTTGTACAGCAGGAGAAGAACGAGACGAAAAGCAGCTCTGGAACAGAAGTACTGCAGCTTTAGGAGCAACATGACAACATTCTTTCTTAAGTTTTATTTATTTATTAGTATTTTATTTTTATATAGAAAATGCCCATTATCTTTATTTATTTTCATTATTTTATATTTAAAAAAATGCAAATGATCTTTTACTTATTTATTACTATTTGATTTTCTTGTATAAAAAAATAATTTTATTATTTTGTTTTACTTATTGTATTTTTTATTTTAAAAAGCCCAACTTATTTTTATTAAATTAATTTCAATTTGTTTATTATTTTACAAAGTTTTATGCAAAAATGGCAATTTTATTTTTCTTATTTTTAGTACCATTTTATTATTTATTAGATTTGTTTTTATAGGGAAAAGCTTGTTTCCTGCAGAGGCCTCATGAATGAACGATTCTGTTTTCTTCTGCGTTTCGTCTCAGTAATGGATCAACGGTGAATCTTTTTTCTACTTTCTGCTGTTATATGAAGTCATGTGAGGTTTTTCCATGAATGTTATTTTCTAATTTCTGAAGTTTTATGTCTTTTTCTCTAGGATCAAAATGAACCACAAACATACGATAAAAACAGAAACTTTTGGTAGGAAAGAAAAAAAACATCCAAACTATTTGGACTTTTTCTCAGTTAATAAAATTATCTACTGAGTCTCTTTTGTTTTGGTCTGAATGATTTAAAAAGCTGTTAGACATAAAAACACAGTGAATAAACTGATTTTCAGGTTTTTGCACTAAAAGATAATAATAATAAACAGTTTAAAGTTGTATATATTTGAAATTTTAAATTGACATTAGTGACTGTTTACATAATAGATCATCATCGGCCCCTCAGGCTCCGTAATGTCATTTCATTAACAGATTCTGTTTTTATTTTCATTTAGAATTTTTACTATAGTTTTATTTTTTAATTAAAAATACCAATTTTTCGTCATCTTTATAAACTTCCTGCCTCCTGATTACAGTAAAATTTACAGGAATCTTTTCAACATTTTCATAGTTTTAATGCTGATAGGGAAATAAAGAAGTTTTACTTGAAAATCTGAATGAGTGTGATGACCAGCCAGCGGCCCGCCTCCCCCCACAGCTTCCCGGCTCCCATCTCCAGGAAAACCTCCACGTACTCCAGGACCGACAGCCAGGTGAGGAGTCTCTGCTGGGACAGAGGCTGGACAGGCAGCAGCAGAAGTTGCATCTTAATGGCCTGAATGTCAGGAAGTGATGAAACTCTGCAGGAAGATGAATTACAGCCGAGCTCACCGCCGAGAAGGCGCATCGCAGGCCTTTCCGCAGGATGCTGTCGTTGAACAGGACCAGCAGGTTGGAGGCAGAATAGACTGAAATACGACAGGAAGCAAAGATTGTAGAGAAAAACTGTCCGGACCAATCAGGGGCGAATTCATCTTACAGAAATCTGAGTCTGACGTAAACAAGGTTTATGATTGGTTCAGAATTCAAACAGAAGAAGAAAAATAACATTTGAATCATCTTCTTCAGGTTCAATTTGTTTTCCACAAATTAAAATCCAGTTTAAGGAGCAAATTTGGAAAATGCTTGTGGAAAACAAGCAGCGGCGGATACATGTGATTCCAGTCAGAAGAAATGAATGAAGTGCCCGTTTGAGGTCAGAGGTCAGAGCGGTCCCCTGAGGTGTTGGTGTGTCAGAGATGGCTGCAGCACAACTTTACTCACCAAGCTCAGAAATCTCATGAGAGTCAGCGAAGCGCCCTGAAATGAAAGCAGCAACATTTTACTTCCTGCAGACATGAAACTTTTTCCCACGGAGCCGAGAGACAGAGAAGAACCGACGATTGTCCTGAACCAACATGTCTGTTCCCTCCTCAGCCTGAATTCTTCCGGTTTTCTCTGGCCGTGATGAGACTCCGCTTTGATCCGAGACATCCCATAATACCTCAGGCTGCTAGTCCTGCTGGAAGCTGAACCTTGACCCCGGTTTTGGTTCTTCTGTGGGTTTTCTTACAGGATTGTTCTGGTTTAGAGCCGTCCAGCTTCCCACAGCATGATGCTGTCACCACCATGCTTCACATTAGTGATGGTGCCTTCAGGTGATGTTCAGCAGTTTGCTTGGAGTCTGCAAAGTTCCTCAAAACTCATTTTGCCCTTTTTTGGGAATCTTCTTCCTGCTCACCAGCAAATGCGTCCTCTAAATTTAAATAAGCATCTTAATGATGGTTTAATGCTTTTATTAGTTCAACTTTACAAAGTTGTTGCTTTATTTAAAATGTATTTTTGTTAAATCTTCTTTATGGATGTCAACTAAATATCCCCATGTCAGAGATGATGGACGGTGAAATAATCTCATTATCATTATAATAAATCTGCCACTGATAATTAATATTCAGCGGCATCAAACAAAGACCATTTACAAATGAGAAACCATTTATAATTTTCATTCCTCTGTACAGTCCTTTGCTACTGTGTGATGTTCATGGAGCTGCGGATGCTTCATGGAGCTGCGGGTGCTTCATGCAGCTGCATGTTCGGGGTGCGGATGCTTCATGGATCTGGACTCACCTGCGATCAGGTAGGACAAGGTTCGGACCGTGTTCTCCAGCTGAGCGGTGGCTGCAGGATTCTTCCGAACAAACTCCGTATATCGCTCATAAACGCGACTTAAAGCATCGATTGATTCCTTAAAGTTCGACATTTCAACTCAAACTAAAACAATAATTCCCTTTTCAGCCGACCGGTTCACATTCAACCTCAGTTTTCTGCACTTTCACATCAGATTTTACAAAAACAAACAAACTTCCGCGTCTTTTCAGTCTTCTTCTTCCCCTTCAAGACGTGGCTGTGCTGCCCTCTGGCGGATGCAGTCCGATACCGCTTCTTTTTCTGACCGCTTCGTCCTTGTGGAGTTTCCGTGTTTTCTGCGCATATGGGTTCAAAATTTCATTTTAAACAGATTCCCTCAGTAATTTTTCACTTCAAGCAGTTCTCATCGATGAAAACACAAAACTAGCATTTAAAAAAATCTAAATACAACATAAGACAATTAAAAGTTATTTTTGACACAGAAACTCAGCATGTTTTATACGTGACATGGCAGAATTGTGGTGATAGTGACTCAGGCCTGCATGTAGACATACTAAAAAGCTGAGTGGAAGGTAAAGGTGGAAAAGACAAACTGGCATCCGGTATTAAAAATAATTTTTAAAAAAGCTGAACCTAGATGATGGACTAGTTCCAAAAACCAAAATACTCACTTTACAGCCTTTGAGGTTTTTTTTTAATTAAAGATCTCTGCAAGAAGGAGAAATCAAACATTGGAAAGCATCCAAAATGCAAAAATTCTCATATAAAGTGGAACAACTGTACATATATTGCATGTTGTGATACGTATAATAAAATAAAATACGATTATATATGATTTTCTATTATCTGTTAGCCAGAATAATCAGAAATAGACATATGAATGCGTCACTGTCTTTAATTTGTCAATTCATTAATTATGTTGCACTGTTTGAATAAATTACTGAACTTTTTAAAAATTACTAAAAAATATTTTATCCTGAAAACACCTGTTGCGACACATGTGTTGGTGAGTCCGCCAGTCATTAGTGTCCCCCGCTGCCGGTGTTCTGACACATTGATTCCTTTTCTGCTTCCGGTCCGGTTATTGTTGCATCAGCATCTCATTGAGACCTGTGGCCATGTCGAGCTCACCGGAGACAGGTACAGTTTTTACCGCCTATTACCTGTTATTATCACCGCTGTTTCCTCAGACACGAGGCCGGTAGGAAGCAGAGGCAGGCCGGTTTAATGTTTCAGGGGCTGTCAGGCTAAATTAGCCTCTGTTAGCTCTGTTAGCGAGCGGCTCGGCTAAATCAGCGGAACTCTGTTTAAGAAACGATCATTCAAGACTTTTTATTTCAGTGTTTATGTTTTGTAAAACAAAGAAATGAATAAAGGAAATATAATTTAGCAATATCTGAATATGTTCAGTTCGGCATAATTATTAAACTAAATAAAGTGTTTCTTAAAACCAAAATCTATCATGTTATTCTGACAGAAATCATTTAAATGAATTGGGCATTTAAACTGAAGCTCATGCATATGAATATGTTTTTATTTATTATGTTCACAGCTTTCCTTTTTAATTTACCTGACATTAATCATGAGATCAATTAATAAAACATACCCTGTATGTCATATTATATATATCAAAAGGTTTGTTTCATCCTTTAAATATATTATATTCTGCAATCTGCATGATGTGAAATATTTTTTCCCCATTTTCATCCTTCATCTTCATGCATGGTTTCTCTTTCATTTTGTTCTGGTGTTGAATCCTCATCTGCTCCTTTTCCTGTCTTGAATTTCTCTTTCCTGTTTTCTTTGTGAATGCATCATCTTTTTGTTTTGTGAGTTTTCTGATTAGCTCCTTTATTTGATCCTGGTTATGTTTGGGAATCAGCAGATGGTTTGCAGTAGTTAAACCCAGGTCTTAAACCGGTTTTCCACTCAGGTCATATTTCAGGTTTTAATTCTCCTCTTTTATGGAAAATATCGCCAGACGAATGTCGTTCCCTCATGAAGATGATTTGCCCCGTATTTTCTACATTTTCTGCAGTAAATCTCTCTAAAGTCCTGAAAAGCATTGATCAGGATGACTTTAGCTGCTTGCTGGATGGTTTTCTGTGAGGAAATGAGGATTTGATCAGAGGTTTTGCTCTGATTTTTTTCTCTCCAGAGGATGAGGACAGTGGCAGCTGCTCGGCTGCTAACGTCTGCCCTCTTGTTTCTGCAGCCTTTGAGTTTGGCTCCTTGCTGCAGATTAACGAGGAGGCCGCGCTGACGGCGGCCCTCAACGACTACCTGAGCTCACGCAGCTACCTGGCGGGCTTCGGCCCCTCCCAGGCCGACCTGAGAGCCTTTAGGCTCCTCCCCCGCCCCCCGCCCCGCAGCACGTCCACGCTCTGCGCTGGTACAGACACATTTCCGCCCTGCAGCAGGACCTGAGTGCAGACGGCAGCAGTGAGTAGACAGTTGACGTGAAGCAGGTTTCTTCAGAGAACCATGAACCCACAGTTCCTCTGGAGTGTTTCAGCTAGAGCTTTGGCCTGTGGGTGGCGCTCTGCGGCGCAGCGGCTTATCGCTGCTCAAACAGCTCAGGGTCAGGAACACCTGCAGCCCCAGAAACATCACAGCTGCTGCCTCTGTTTGTCCTCTCACTGCATGTTGTTCTACCAGATCATCCGTCCTTTCCGGAAACTTTTCTTTCAGCTTTTTCTGCTTTTTCTGTTTACAAAGCTTCAGCAGCTGCTGTGAAAATCTCTAATAATAAATAAATCTTTAATGCATCAGTAGAATGTCTCTATGAATGATAGAATAATTTGTATTAAGAACAATTCAAGGCATAGCCAATCAGAAAATGTAAAAATCACCATGGCACCGTTACCCAGTGGTTCCTGTCCCTGCATCTCTGCACCAGCTCACTGAAACACACCAACAGCTCCACCTTTTGGTAAATGTATCGAAACAACTTTAATCTTTTCAGGCAGTTTGGAGAATAACAGCCAATATAAAATAATAACAAAGAAACTGATAAATAAACTAGAACAAACCTTCAAAATGGTTCAGAAAAGTGCATTTAGAAAATTCAAGGTGTAGAATTAGATTGAACAGATTGTCACCAATAATCTATTCAATAAAAAATCTATTTATTTTTCCAAAACTTCCTGAATCTTCCTGAAAGTTTTAATTTTGCTGTCAAAACTTTCATCTTCCCGTTTTGCAGATATTTCATCTAAATGTCTTTAAACTGAAACAATAAAATCTTTTTGAAGTTAAATATTTGGATGAAACAGGAATCAACCTTTTTTATAATCTTTAGAATATTTTCTGCTTTTTAACACGAGAAACCAGATTTATATTCCTGAGTTATATTTGAGTAACTTAAAGAAAAAAAAGGACATTTAGGAGGATTTTGCTACAAGTAAATTTCTTCTGCATTAGTAATTTTATCATGATGTATTTCTGCTCTTGTTAGTTTTTGTTAAATTTCATATTCAAAGAAATTTATTTATATTTATGACATTCATCTGAATTATTTTCCTTTTGGTCTTTAAAATGCCAACATTTCCATATAACTTTATATTTCGGTCTCTAATTATGCCCATATTTATATATTAAATGATGTTTTGATCAGTTATTCACAACTCAAGTCACTTTTTTGCTCTTCAGTCATTTCTGGGACGGTGAGATTTTATTTTCACTTGAGTAAAAACAAGCTGAAGTTTTGTCATGTTTGTCTCCTTGGTGTGAATGTCACCAGTTTCTGGTTTCATTCCAGTGAAGGGGAAACGGGTCCAGCCTCCATGGTCGCCACCGGCGGGAACAGAAGTTCCTCAGCTGCGGCTCTACAACAGCCTGACCAGAACCAAGGTACGGCATAGAACCGGCAACTCTGGGCTGCAGAACCCAGCAGCTGCTGCAGAACCCAGCAGCTGCTGCAGAACCCAGCAGCTGCTGCAGAACCCAGCAGCTGCTGCTGCACTTTAAGGTGCTAAAACGCCTGCATGTTCACCTGATCAGGCAGAATATGATCTATAGACCAATTCACATGTTAGAACTAAACAATAAGGAGCAGAGGCGGCGCTGGGGGGAGCTCAGGGTGCCAAACTGTTTAACACAGCAACACTTGAATTAGTCTGTCTGCTGCTAAAGGTCAATAAATCTAAAACTCACCTGCAAAGCTGTGAAGTTTTACTGTAGGAAACCTCATATAGAGCAGAAACCAGGCTGGTCCGATCGCTGAGCCCTGCAGTACACCGCAGCCTCAGCCGGTTCTGTTTAATCGCCGTCTCGTTGTTCCAGGAGCCGTTTGTTCCCCAGAAGGGCAACAAGGTGACATGGTACTGCTGCGGCCCCACCGTTTATGACGCCTCACACATGGGACATGCCAGGTAACCGGGTCAGAACCAGAAACCCAGAACCAGGCCAGAACCTCTCCGTCCTGACCAGCCGCTCCGCCTCTGTTGCAGGTCCTACATCTCCTTCGACATCCTGCGGCGGATCCTGAGGGATTACTTTAAGTATGACGTCCTCTACTGCATGAACATCACAGACATCGACGACAAGGTGAGAATCCAGCGGTTCTGGAAGGTTCTGAAGGTTCTGAAGGTTTGAAACGGTCCTACATGCTGCAGGTAAACTGGAACGTCTCATCAGTCATTTTTTCTTAACAGCAAAGTGAAAAACAATAAACAATGTGTAAAAACGTGGTGATGTTCTGCACTGTTGCAGCTCAATAAGCCAAATTAAATGAGTTGTTTCTGCAGCAAATTAAATCTTTGAAAGTTTCTGGAAATGTTCTGGATTTTCAACCAACCAATTATTTTTAACAATGCAGAATTATGAGCTTCATGCAGTTTTGATTTTCGGGTGTCTAACAAACAAAATGTAGCAGTCAGATAATCCAGGCATCTGGTTCTCTTCCTGGTTCAGATCATCAAACGGGCTCGGCAGAACTTCCTCCTGGAGCGGTACAGGGAGAAGCGGCCGCAGGCGGCTCAGATCCTGCAGGATGTCCTGAACGCACGAGTGGTGAGTCAGAGATCGGATCCGATGCGCCGGTCGAGATCGGATCAGCAACGACATGGCGGTCCGGTCCGGTCGCGATCAGTTTCCTCCTCCATCTTCCTGCAGCTGTTCCGGGAGCAGCTGGCCTCCACCACGGACCCGGATAAGAAGCAGATGTTGGAGCGTCTGGATGCCGCCGTCGCCGCCGCTCTGCTGCCCCTGCAGGGGCGACGGAGAGCAACGCAGCAGCTGACGTGCTGCAGCCTCTGGCTGAGGTCAGGCGGACCGAAACGCTGCAGAACTCCTCATCCTGCTGCTGTTCCAGTTCCTCTGTAACAGAGTTTGGTGTTAATTATTTTCCCAGGTTTTGCTGGAGAACTCGAAGGACTTGCTGTCCGACTGGCTGGACAGGCAGTTTGGAAGTGAAGTCACAGAGAACTCCATCTTCTCCGTCCTGCCGAAGTTCTGGGAGGGGGAGTTCCACAGAGACATGGAGGCCCTGAACGTAAGCTGCAGGCTCCGCCCCCTCCGCCCGATCAGCTGAGCGAGAGCTTCATCTCTCTCTCCACGCCCCCCAGGTTCTGCCTGCCGACGTTCTGACCCGAGTCAGTGAGTACGTCCCGGAGATCGTGGAGTTTGTGAGGAAAATCGTCTCCAATGGTTACGGGTGAGGACAGTACCATCTGAAGGGTTCTCCAGCAGCCGCTGCCTCTGATCCGTTTGGTTCTGGGATGTCTGCAGTACGAGTCCAACGGGTCCGTCTACTTCGATACCCAGAGGTTTGATTCCAGTCCACAACATTCGTACGCCAAGCTGGTCCCAGAGGCTGTGGGAGACCAGAAGGCACTGCAGGAAGGAGAAGGTACGGCAGGAGGCGTCTTACCTGGAGCTAACACCAGGAGACGTCTTACCTGGAGCTAACACCAGGAGACGTCTTACCCTGGAGCTAACACCAGGAGGCGTCTTACCTGGAGCTAACGCCAGGAGGCGTCTTACCTGGAGCTAACACCAGGAGGCGTCTTACCTGGAGCTAACGCCAGGAGGCGTCTTACCTGGAGCTAACGCCAGGAGGCGTCTTACCTGGAGCTAACACCAGGAGGCGTCTTACCTGGAGCTAACACCAGGAGGCGTCTTACCTGGAGCTAACACCAGGAGGCGTCTTACCTGGAGCTAACGCCAGGAGGCGTCTTACCTGGAGCTAACGCCAGGAGGCGTCGAACCTCATTTTCGTCCCGATCTTCTCTGCAGGTGATCTGAGCATCTCAGCAGACAGACTGAGTGAGAAGAAATCCCAGAACGACTTCGCTCTGTGGAAAGCCTCGAAGCCCGGCGAGCCGTCCTGGGACTCTCCATGGGGGAAGGTGAGCGGCTGCCGCCATTTTCCTCCTGATTCTCATGTTCCACGCTTTAATAACTGAGAGTCTGTGTCCTCCTGTGGCGGCGGCGGCGGCAGGGTCGGCCCGGGTGGCACATCGAGTGTTCAGCCATGGCCGGCTCCATCCTGGGAGAGTCCATGGACATCCACGGAGGAGGCTTCGACCTGCGCTTCCCCCATCATGACAACGAGCTGGCCCAGTCCGAGGTCACTTCCTGTCACTTCCTGTCACTCTCTTGCTTATGTTTTGCTTCCAAACAGCCAAACCTGACACCAACTCTGTTGGTGGGGTTGGGACGATAAATCAATTTTATCAATTAATCAAATTTTTATTTCTGAAGATTTAAATTTTGGAAAATTTTACTTTTTTAACATTTTGTGCTCATTGTATTTCCATAAATGAGAGCGACGTCAGGGCGGCCATCTTGTCTTAAAGCATGTTTTACAGCTGCAAAATATGTCAGGCTAAATTTATTTCTTTAATTACTAGAATGAATTTTCACAGAACTCAATTTCTGCCAAAACAACTCAGAAATTTTGAGATTAATCTTGGATATTTTCAGGTAAAAAACATGGAAATTTTGAAAAGTTAAAACATTTTCAACTTTTTCAACTCATAAAATCATCAACAGTGAATTTGTTTTTACTTTTGAAACTCAGAAATGTTTTTGAAATTTTTGTCAGAATTGATTTCTGATTGTTTTCTATCTACAGTGGGCCAAATACGCCGCCATGAGACAATCATTCAGATTAATCTGATCTCTCATCATGGCGGTTCTGTTTGGCGGTTCTGTTTGGCGGTTCTGTTTGACGGTTCTGTTTGAGCCCAGCTGTTTTTTCTTCAGGCGTTCTTCCAGAACGACTGTTGGGTCCGTTACTTCCTGCACACCGGCCACCTGACCATCGCCGGCTGCAAGATGTCCAAGTCTCTGAAAAACTTCATCACCATAAAGGACTCCCTGGCGAAGAACACAGGTGAGTGTGCCTGCGTTGCTGGGCGAGCGTCGGCCTGCAGGCGCCCCCTGCTGACGTGAGCCGTTCCTCCCGCAGCGCGCCAGCTGCGCCTGGCCTTCCTCATGCATTCCTGGAAAGACACGCTGGATTACTCGGCCAACACCATGGAGTCGGCCGTCCAGTACGAGAAGTTCATGAACGTAGGTGCCGCCGCCGCCTCGGGCGACTCCCCGCCGCCTCGCTCGGGTCTAAAGCTGCCGGTTCTCTTCCCGCCTGCAGGAGTTCTTCCTGAACGTCAAAGACATCCTGCGGGCGCCGAGCGACCTGACCGGACGCTACGAGAAGTGGGAGGCGGAGGAGGCGGAGCTTAACAGCAGGTGAGACATCAGAGGACAGGAAGCAGCTTCAGCCTCCACACACACCAACAGCGCACCTGTGTGTGTTCCAGTTTCTACGACAGGAAGTGGGCTGTTCACCTGGCGCTGTGTGACAACATGGACACTCGCAGCGCCATGGAGGAGATGAGGCTTCTGGTCGGCCTCAGCAACAGCTACATCGCCAGCAGGAAGAGCGCCAAGCTGAGGCCCAACCGCCTGCTGCTGGAGAGCATCGCCTCCTACCTCACCGCCATGATGAAGGTGATGATGATGATGGAGGAGGAAGACGGGGAGTCAACCAATCAGGAAGGACGTTCAATGAGCTCGTTTCTAAGAATAAAGTGACAAATTAATTATGTAATTTAATTGGATTAAGTCAAGTAATTGGTTGAATTATTTTATTAAATTGATTACTCACATTAATAAAACCATTAAATTCATCTGTTTACATTAATTAATGTAATTAATTAAAACCTTAATATTTCAGAAATAAAAAAGGGATTAAAAAAGAAACTCAAATTAATTTACCTAATAAATAAATTATACTAAAATTATCCATTTAAATAACTAAATTTTTTTTAAAATACTTCATTTAATTTGTGATTTAAAAGCTGTTTGTGCATCAACAATCTTCTGGCTCTGCTCCAGATATTCGGAGCCATCGACGGATCCGATCCCATCGGTTTCCCAGTCGGAGGACAAGCTGTGGATGTGAGTGAACGGCTGATCTGTTGGGAGAACCCAGCTGGGAAAAACCTGTGCAGTGACCCGGTTCTGGTCCGATCTTTGCAGCTGGAGAGCACGGTGATGCCCTACCTGGCGGTTCTGTCCGACTTCAGAGAGGACGTCCGGAAAATCGCCCGGGAGCAGAAAGGTGAGGCCGAAACCCGACGTTCCGGATCCCGTCCGGGCTTCCAGAACTGACTCTGTTCTCCCGACCCGTCCAGTGACGGCGCTGCTGCGGCTCTGCGACGCCGTCCGGGACGACACGCTGCCGGAGCTGGGCGTCCGCCTGGAGGACCACGAAGGTGACGCAGCTTTTTAAAAACGGGTCCAACAGGAAGTCCGCAGCGGCTCGGGTCAAACTGAGAATGTGTTTCAGGTCAGCCCACCGTGGTGAAGCTGGTGGACAAGGAGACGTTACTGAGGGAGCGAGAGGAGAAGAAGAAGGTGAGGCTCACTGATCAACTCTGATACGTTTGTAAAACAATAAATTTTTTACATGTTCGCCGTCTCGTGTATCGAATGGCGCCGATAATCTGCACTGCAAAAACTCAAAGTCTCACCAAGTCATTCGGTCCAGACAGCTGCAGATACAGAAGACTGGAAATAAGGCAAAGCGAAAGCTGAGCAGAGAGAATCACAGCGCTGTAAAAAATACTCCTAAATGTACAGAAAAAATTAATGTAACTAGTTATTACCGGGTCGTAACTAATAAGTAACTTGTTTTAAATAGATTGATTGATCTGCAGTCAGACGGTTTGAATGAATTATTATGTTATTAGATGATTAATCATAAAAACACCTTTTTAATGTAATATTGGAAATACATTAAAAAATGCAAATAAACTAACAAATTCCTTTTTAATGATCAGATAATAACCATGATAACTGATTTAGTGATCATTTGCAGGAAATAATGAATCTGCAGCTAAAAATGAAACGTTTCTGCTGGGCTGAACATTGGATCAGATTAGGGATAATCTGGTGATTCAGTTTTGGATCAACTGATTAATAATTGAATGTAAAAGGTGGTTAACATGAGATTCTTTTTACAGAACCAGCGAAAGCTAAAGCCTTCATCAGTGTTGGTTAATTTATAGACAAAGTTTTAAAAGTTGTTTATAGTTTTGGTTTAGTTTCTGCCTGACTGTTTTTCAGGAAACTGCCTTTTGAGCCTCTAATGCTCCAGTTATCAATTAATCAATTACTAAATCAGTTGATGGTTATCATAATAATGGTGGAGATCGTTCCAGACCTGCAGCAGAGTGAGAATGAAAGCATGAATCAGTTCTTCCATCAATCAACAGTTTGAACTGATGATGAAACTTTTCCTTCGTTCCCAGATGGAGGAGGAGAAGAAGCGGAAGAAGGAGGAAGCTGCCAGGAAGAAGCAGGAGCAGGAGGTCCGTCGGACATTTTGAATCGCTTGGATTCGCCGACTCGTTCGCCCAATAATCACTTTGCTCTCTCTCTTCCAGATGGCGAAACTGGCCAAATGAAGGTCCCTCCGTGTGAGATGTTTCGCCTGGAAACAGACAAATATTCCAGGTTTGACGAGACGGTAAGTGGGACATTCAATCTCCTCCCAAACGAAGCCAAAACGTTTTGGGTCCATTTGAACATGTTTTTGAACAGTTTTCAGTTTTGAAAACTTGGCATCTTTCCCGTTTTCCTCCCCTCAGGGTTTTCCCACTCATGACGCTGAAGGAAAGGAGCTGAGCAAAGGCCAAGCCAAGAAGCTGCGGAAGCTGTTTGAGGCTCAGGAGAAGCTCCACAGCGAGTATCTGCAGATGAACCAGAACGGGAACTGAGTCCGCTTCCATCTGACGCAGCTTCAGTCGGGATCAACGAACCGTTTTATTCTCCTCCACAAATGTCTGAATGTGTGGAAGAAGAAACGTTTCCTCCATCAGCAGAACCCAGCTGCGCCTGCCGCTTCGGCTGGGATCCAACTCATGAACTTCATCTGTGACGGCTTCCATCATGCATTCCTATCAGCCGTTCGTTCATCCATTCATTCATTCATCCATCCGTCTGTAAACGGATTCAAACAAACTGCGACGCCGAGTCTCCAACAGGGGAAAACTGAAGTCAGGAAAACCTGAGAAGCTTCAACCAAACTGGAGGCAAAAATGTTCATTTGTGCTGCTTTGAATATGTCAATAAAGGTTTAAAGGTCAAAAGGTCAACCAGCCAGCCCACATCACTCAAATCAAACTAAATTGGTGTCAATGTTATGTTTGTGCTGGTTTGTGTAGCTATCATATAAAAGATGTTAATGTCTCCAGAGGTCATCAGAGGTCAACCAGGGGAAGCTCACATTTTCAAAACCAAACAGTTTTTCTGGTTTGTGTCGTAGGTTTTTTTTGGTTTTGCCACTATCATTTTAAACATATAAATACATGTTTCCAGAGGTCATGAAAGGTCAACCAGCTCCTCCATCTTCCATGCATTAATATAAATGGGTGCGAAATAATTGGATTACATTTTTATTAATATATTTAAAATGATAGCGGCACAAAAGTTTGACAACAATCTTGATAGATTTGGATGATGTGGGTGGAGCTGGTTGACCTTTTGACCTTTAAACTTTCATTGAAATCTTTGAAGCCAAAGCAGCATAAATGTAGTGGAGTTGATTGACAGCAGATTTGACTGGTTGACCTTTCATGACCTCTGGAAACATTTATTAATATATTTACAAAGATAACATCAGGTTTCAAAGGTGGAGGGGAAACTCGCTCAGGTTAGTAATTACTGTCAGAAAAGCTTCTGATGTTGGTTCTGGAAAAACGTTCCTGGGATAAAATCATCTTGTTGGGATAAGATAGATAATAACAGCTTTTCACGTTTCCAGGTCCGTTTTCTCCGGTCTTGGTGTCGTCTCTGTGAAAACGGACCGAGTTTGTATTGTTGTGGTTCTGCCGATAAATCCCAGGATGCTCCAAACGGAGGAGCTGCAGGATCCGGGGAACATCAGCAGATCTGACAGGAAGAGCTGAGCTTTTAGTCAAACATCCATCCATTACTGCTAGTATTTTCTACTGATTTATTGAAAACTCGTGTTTCTGTGAAGGCGCAGCTGCAGGTTGTGAAGAAGATGCTCCAATAAAAACAGTCAGAGACACAGGTGGTGTCTTTATTTCAGACAATACAGACTCATTCAGATCAGAAGCATCAATCAGAAACTCCTCAAAATATTTCCATTGATCCAACAGACCAGGAATCTGAGTCAGATGTCATTTGCTCCACATGCAGATCACTGACAACTCAAGACACATCTGGGAACCACAAAGTTTAAGATTTAAAAACTGAAACTTTACATTTTAAATAAAGTTGTACCAAATACAACTTTATTTAAAGTTGTGTTTTGATGTTTTTCACTGAAATTGCAAAAAATAATTTTGTACATTTCTGAACATAAATCAGGTTCTGCCTCTTTCCCTGGTTAAAAATCGGCTCACGATGTTCTGATGATGTACAGTTTGTTTTTTTTTCTGTTTTATTTCTGAGTTCATTAAATTGTTGTAATTTAAGTTCAAATGTAGACTAAAATAATTATACTTTGTGTTGCACCTTAAAAGTTCCCCATTTCAAGAACTTGGTTTAGTCTACGTCTTTATTTTATAAATATTAAATTTGAACCCTTTGATCTGCACCAGCTGCCTGACTTTGGACACAATATTTATATTTTCATTTAAAAAGTTGAAGTTCTGGTTCAGCAGTGAATCAAATAAGATCTTTAACCGGTTAATATATGAATCATCTAGAAACATAGAATTAGTGACAAATATTTATTATTGAAATGTTAAAATAAATAAAAGTAATTGTCTTATTCCAGAGGATATTTGATACAAACAGGAAGTTGCTGTTTAACACGCTGTGAAGAAGCATGTTGTTACACATGGAGGCAACCAGCTTCATTTACATGAGCAACTTTTTGAAAAGGAAGTATTAATAGGAGTATTTTTACTGCACTGAACTGCAGTGAAGTTTCTGGCAACCCAGAAACGCATCAGCCTACAATTTATGTTTGAGTGAGACCTCCTGTCTACACAGCTTTGTTTCTGAGCGCTGTTCTTTATATACAAGCTTTTTGTTGTGAAAAACAGATTTTTTTTTTATATATATATGTTTATTGAGTTTTCACACACACATTTAACAGATTACTATGTGAGAGAGATATACTCTTACCAACAAAACAGTACAAATAAAAACATACAATAACCAAAAGTAAAATAAATTAAGATACGAACAGGTCGAGACAATTATCTAGATAACTGGATACAGTGCACTGATTACCATTTACACTTCCGGGTGTTACAACCAGTATTTTACAACATTTTACAGATCTTATTTTCTTCCGGGAGAGATACAAAATTTGGGATGTTAGTTCGAACATAATTTCTAATTTGCAGGTATCTAAAAAAATCCGTATCCGGAAGAGAAAAACAGCTCTTCAGCATTGCAAATGAGGCAAACTTTTTGTTAATATACAAATTTTTCAGCGTAATTAGGCCTTTTAGTCTCCAATTTTTAAATGATACATCCGACAGCGATGGGGGAAAAGCATGGTTACGGTACATTGGGGCATGAACTGAGGTCTCTGGTAGGTTGCAGTATATCTTAATTTGTTTCCATATTTTCAAACAATTTGAAACAACCATATTATTTATTCCATTATTTGTTGGAGATGTTGGCGTCGAGAAAAGAAGTGCCGAGAGAGAGCTATTTGTAACACTAGATCTTTCAATAGCCACCCAGGGGGGAGAGTTTGCAGGAAGTTCCTGAGTATCATCTTCCTGCCAATACATCAGGCTCCTTGCATTAGCTGCCCAATAGTAGTGCTGGAAGCAGGGCAATCCCAACCCCCCCATCTTTCTCGGTTTGTGTAAGTGAGTTTTGATATTCTATGAGCTTTAAAGCCCCAGACAAAGGGCAAGATTATTGAGTCCAGAGATTTAAAAAAGGCCTTCGTTATGAAAATAGGCAGACCCTGGAAAAGATATAAAATTTAGGCAAGGACACCATCTTAATAGCATTGATGCGGCCCATCATTGAGAGTGGGAGTGTTCTCCATCTATCAATATCTTCCTAATGTCAGGTTCGGTGTTTTTCTGTGTTTAATTCTGAGTTTCTGTGTCCTGAGTTCTCCTCTTGTCCTGTCTTCCCTTGATTGTTCCCAGGTGTGTCTTGTTCTCCTGATTACCCTCAGTGTATTTAGTCCCTCCTGTGTCCTTTGTTCCTCGTAGGGTCCTTGTCATTGTTTGTCGTTGTCGTATTTTGTCATTTTCTGCCGTCGTTTGTTTTCCGCCTGTATGACCAGTTGCTACCGGCGTGAGCCCTGGTTTCCGCTCAGCCGTGCTGCCTGGCCGCGGACTACGTCTATTGACTGTGTTTTTGTGGAGTATTTTGTTATTAAATTACTCACCATTCATCTACCTGGGTCTCCAGCGTCTGCCTCACCACCACCACTTCATGACAGAAGGACCCGACCAAGAATACGGTGAGGCTAGCTGAATTCAGCATGGACCCAGAGGGTTTAGAGGAGCTACTCCGTACTATCCAGGAGTATGAGGAGTCAAAGAGCACGTCCACGTTCGCCCTGAGACGGCCAGGGTTCGCGATACGCCTGGGCCTGCTACTGGACTATTGGGTTCCTCGTCTCCCGCACCCCGCGCTGGTGGAGCTGCAGCGGGAGGCAGAGGAGATACGCCGGACAGCCTTTGCTGCCTGGGATGCTAAACCTCTGCCTCCCAGGCCAGACATCCGCTCCGCCAGCCCAGCCCCAGCTCCAGCCTCTGCTCCTCGTCCTGCTCCGCCGGACCCCGCTCCGGCTGCCGTTCCTGCTCCGCCGGACCCCGCTCCGGCTTCGGCTCCTGCTCCGCCGGATTCCGCTCCGGCTTCGGCTCCTGCTCCGCCGGATTCCGCTCCGGCCTCCGTGGACTCTGCTCCTTGTGCCGCTGCTCCTTCCGAGATCCCCAGTGCTCCTCCCGAGACTCCCAGTGCTCCTCCCGAGACTCCCAGTGCTCCTCCCGAGACTCCCAGTGCTCCTCCCGAGACTCCCAGTGCTCCTCCCGAGTCCCCCAGTGCTCCTCCCGAGATCCCAGTGCTCCTCCCGAGATCCCCAGTGCTCCTCGAGATCCCCAGTGCTCCTCCCGAGATCCCCAGTGCTCCTCCCGATCCCCAGTGCTCCTCCCGAGATCCCCAAGTGTTCCTCCAGTGCCCCCTAGTGTTCCTCCAGTGCCCCCTAGTGTTCCTCCAGTGCCCCCTAGTGTTCCTCCAGTGCCCCCTAGTGTTCCTCCAGTGCCCCCTAGTTTCCTCCAGTGTCCCCTAGTGTTCCTCCTGTGCCCCCTAGTGTCCCTCGGCACCATGGACGCCCTCCGGACCTCCCCCGTGGGGTCTGCCGCGGGCGCCGAGGCCGCCCTCCAGACCCCCTCGACGCCTCTGCCCTCTTTCTGTTTAGTTTTGGACTCTTGGCCCCTCCTTGTGTTTCCGCCCACCTTTTGTGGGTAGTTTTTTTGTTTTCTGGACTCTGGCCCTCCTTCCGTCGCCCCTCCGCCCACCCTGGTTTTTGGGTTTTGGATTTTGTTTTTGGGCGTCTGGTAGCCGCCCTTTAAGGGGGGGGTACTGTCAGGTTCGGTGTTTTTCTGTGTTTAATTCTGAGTTTCTGTGTCCTGAGTTCTCCTCGTTGTCCTGTCTTCCCCTTGATTGTTCCCAGGTGTGTCTTGTTCTCCTGATTACCCTCAGTGTATTTAGTCCCTCCTGTGTCCTTTGTTCCTGGTCGGGTCCTTGTCATTGTTTGTCGTTGTCGTATTTTGTCATTTTCTGCCATCGTTTGTTTTCGCCTGTATGACCAGTTGCTACCGGCGTGAGCCCTGGTTTCCGCTCAGCCGTGCTGCCTGGCCGCGGACTACGTCTATTGACTGTGTTTTTGTGGAGTATTTTGTTATTAAATTACTCACCATTCATCTACCTGGGTCTCCAGCGTCTGCCTCACCACCACCATTTCATGACACCTAAGGTTATCCACTTTTTCTAAAAAGTTCAACTTGAAGATTTGTTTAGGGTCTTTAGGCATAACTCCAAGATATTTCAGTTTGTCAGTTATCTTAAACAAGAGGTTATCTAAGAATTCAGGAGTGAGTCTAACACCTAGTGGCATAAATTCACTCTTCTGCCAGTTAATAGTGTAACATGAAATCTCGCCAAATGATTGAATGAGGTCTAGGAGAATTGGTACTGATTTCTCAGGCTGTGATACAAAAACAACAACATCATCAGCATATAATGAAATGTGATGGTCAATGTTTCCCAGCTGAATTGGTTTGATTAGGGAATGTTTCCTGATACTAATGGCGAGGGGTTCCATAGCAACCACGAAAAGTAGAGGGCTAAGGGGGCAACCCTGACGGGTTCCTCGATGCAGGAGGAAGGGCTCTGACTTGTCCTGGTTTGTGAGGACAGAGGCAGAGGGTTGAGCATACATTGTTTTAATCCACGACACAAATTTACTACCAAACCCAAATTCCTCAAGTACAGTCAAAATGTAAGGCCACTCCAGTTGGTCAAACACCTTTTCAGCATCCGGGTGTAGCGTAGTTAATCCTGCGTTGTGTCTTTTTGAGGCAAGAAAAGCCAAACAACAGCTGATGTGCAGATGATTTTAATGCACCTGCATTCAAATGGCAGAAAATAGTATCAATCAGAACAGTGTACTTTTCAGTCCCCACAGCGCCTTCTCCCACGGAATCCGAACAGAAAGAGCGCAAGTGCGTGTGACTTAAGTAAAGTAACACATTTACTTTATGAAATAAAAACAATTGCATTAATAAGTAACTGAGCCCAAACATGGGCATATTAACCTTAAACAGTACATTAATGAAACCAAATAAAATACCATAAATAGTAATGAAACATCACATACCTGCATTCAAATGGCAGAAAATAGTATCAATCAGAACAGTGTACTTTTCAGTCCCGCACAGCGCCTGTTCAACCATGAACATATACTATCTTCAGCACATGCACATACAATTTGTTAGCAATGTTTCATGTATAAAACAGCTAGCTAACTGTTAGCTACTAGCCTTAATTTAACAAAGGTTAATTTATACTACAATAACAATACACATTTTACAAAAAAACTGTGATAAAACCATCACTTAATACACTAACATACACTTATTAAACACAAAAACGAAACTTCATACCTTCTCCCACGGAATCCGAACAGAAAGAGCGCGACCGAGAGTGTGGGAAAACCTTTCACAGCCTACAATGGTATGATCCACTAATTTATATTTTTAAACTCCAAACTGATACTAGAAATAATGACCCATGAACTAAATATGTTCAACAGCAACAATAATAATTCCCATTTCTATTACAACACATGAAAGTTTAATAAAAATAATAATTTGGAGACAGGAAGTTACCCGCTGGATTACAATGGATCTGTCGTCCTTTCAAAATAAAGCTGCCGGTGCTCAGAATTTCCCATCGGAACATCCTCCCACTTAACAATCTAGTGTAACAACATCACATCGCTACACAGGCAAATAGCAGCTCCCTTAAACTTACTGTCAAATTTGTGATACATAATGTTCATTAACCGGCTGATATTAAAGAATGAAAACCTTTTAGGGATGAAGCCCGTTTTGGTCCGGATGGACAATAGAGGAAACATGTTTATCTAGCCTATTTGCCAGTACTTTAGCGAATATTTTAATGTCGGAGTTCAATAGTGAGATAGGGCGATATGATGAGGGCTCTGTCTCCTCCCTACCTTCTTTATGTATTAATGTGATATTAGCTTCATACATAGTGGGGGGAAATTTCCCTGAATCAAGAGAGTGAACGAACATCCTCTGGAGGAGGGGAGCAATCTTCTGGGCATATCTCTTATAGAGCTCAGTTCCGAAACCATCTGGTCCTGGGGCCTTGGCATTGGGAAGTGATTTGATTACATCAACAATCTCTTCCACAGTAATGTCTGCATTGAGCGCCTCTCGCGCATCTTCACTCATCTTTGGGAGGTTCAGATCTTTAAGCCAGCTTGAGATATTTCCTTTGCTTTAGACCTGTATAGTTGCTCATAATATTCCTTAAATGAATCGTTTATATTTCTTGGTTCAATTACAATTTTTCCTGTCTTGGATTTAATTTTATGTATTGCCCTGTTGGCCTGCAAGCCCCGCAGCTGACGAGCCAACAGTTTATGGGGGTTTATCACTCAGCTCAAAGTGTTTCTGCTTAATTTTAAACATCTGATCGAGCACCCGCCTGGACAAGATAGTATTATAATATTCATTTAAGACAAGGATGTTTTCTAAAGTCGAAGGATTGGAAGAGGACTTGTAATTAGATTCTAAGCGTGCTAATTCAGTCTCAATTTCTGAGAGGCGTTTCCGATTTTTGTTTTTCAGGAACTTTTCAAAAGAAATAATATGACCCCTGATCACAACTTTGAAGTTTCCCATAGTGTAGAGTCTGTAACATCTTTTGTATCGTTAGTATCTATAAAGTCAGAAATTTTATCATCTAGGAATTTACAGAATGTCTCCTGTGATAGAAGGGATTGGTGGAAACGCCAGAAATATTGTTGTTTCCTATGGTTAAGATCGAGAGTCAGTGAGATTGGAGAGTGATCAGAGATTAGAAGCGTATGTATTTGGAGGATATCACATTAGGTATTAGTTTAGCATCCAACAGAAAATAGTCTATTCTTGAATACGATTTATGTACATTGAGAAAAAGGAATAGTCCCTGTCCACCGGATGCTGCAGTCTCCAAGCATCAACCAAATCTGTTGTTGTCATGAGGTTGTTAAAAAACCACAAGGGTGAAAAACAGATTTTAACATGACAATTCTTTATGATGTTGTGATATATTTTCACATTTTTGTATTATTAAAACGTAATTTTATATTTTACCTGTCGGATTATATCGTTTCTTTAAATTAAATCAAATTAAGAAGTAATACTCAATAACTAAGAAATGTTTTTTATGGAGGAATACTTCATACTTGAAGCAAAGTAATATGGATATACATATTGAAGTTCTGCGATATTTCGCTACTAATGTGAAGCATTTCTGCTGTTTACATATCTGATTTTGACTTCCTATTCTCAGCCAATCAGCGGCCTCCTAGCCTCAGCTGCAGCCAATAAGCGGCCTCTGGGCCTAAGCCATAGCCAATCAGATTCCCCGCAGCGCTATTTGAACGTCCTGCGTGAACCGTGTTCTGTAGTTTGAGCTGCAGTGGATTTTCTCCGGTTCTGGTTCAAATATTCAGGCTTTAATCTCGACATGTCTGTGGGGCTTCGTGCTGCGGTGAGTTAACGTGTCTCCGTCCGTCTCCGTGTCTCCGTCCTCGTTGTCCAACTTGTCTCGGTTCGTTGCAGCCGCTGCAGGCCGCAGAGGAGCCTCTGAAGGCGGGGAAAAGCTCCGCGGCGGCTCGGCGTAGAGCCCCTGGGAGAGATCACCAACCAGCCCGGACCGCTGGCCGATACCAAGGTAACGCTCCGGGACCAGAACCCAGCGGTCCAAACCGGCTCAGACTTGTGTCGTTATGGTAACCTAATTAAATTCGAGAGGTCATCGGGGTCAACGCCCCAAAGACAACACAGCGGATGTTTTGGCTTTTGACTTGAAGGTGACCCGGATGTAGACCTAAATGTTTGCTGTGTTGGTTTTTAACCTCATGTTAATCCCTGTAACATGTGCAGAAGGTTTTTAATGCGTTTAGAATCAGCTTTATTGGCTAAGATTGTGGTAGAAATGAGGAATTTCGGTTTAAATATCTGTTTTTCAGAGGACGGGATCGTCCAACAAGTCCTCCAAGTTTTCCTGCTCCCAGAAACCCAGCCGGGTCCCTGAGGTCGCGGCCCGGGTCCCTGAGGTCGCGGCCCGGGTCCCTGAGGTCGCGGCCCGGGTCCCTGAGGTCGCGGCCCGGGTCCCTGAGGTCGCGGCCCGGGTCCCGGAGGTCGCGGCCCGGGTCCCGGAGGTCGCGGCCCGGGTCCCGGAGACGCTCCCGCCTCTTCCAGAGGATCCGTCCCTGGAGGCGGAGCAGGAACTGTGCCCGGCTTTCTCCGAGACGCTGCTGCCGGTGCCGGACGTGGATGAGCAGGACGCGGCGGAGCCGCAGCTCTGCTCTCACTACGTCAAGGACATCTACGCCTACCTGCAGAGTCTGGAGGTAACGTCCTTCCTCCTGCTCTGACCTTTGACCCAGAATTCAGCTTTGCTTTCTAAAGTGTAAGCAGACAGATTGTAGGTGCTCCTCTGTTTTATACATCATTTATGCACAAAAGCCTGTCGAATGTGGACAGCCCCTGGCTCTGGCCTTGACCTCTGACCCAGTGACACACAGGGAGTTCAATATACAAATTGAAAATCCAATACAGGAGTTTCTCATTTTGGCATGACCTCTGACCCCCGGCATGTCTCCAGGTGCAGCAGGCCATCCGGGCCGACTACCTGAAGGGGTCGGAGGTCACGGCGGCCATGAGGGCGATCCTGGTGGACTGGTTGATCCAGGTCCACTCTCGCTTCCAGCTGCTGCAAGAGACGCTGTACCTCACCGTGGCCGTCCTGGACCGCTTCCTGCAGGTGAGCCGCACCGGCACCAGAACCTCCCGCCGCCAGCTCTGACCCTCTGCTGCCGCCGCAGGTCCAGCCGGTGTCCCGCAGGAAGCTGCAGCTGGCCGGCGTGGCCGCCATGCTGGTGGCCTGTAAGTACGAGGAGATGTTCTGCCCGGAGGTGGGAGACTTCGCCTACATCACGGATGACGCCTTCAGCAAGGCCCAGATCCTGGAGATGGAGCAGCTGGTGCTGAAGCGGCTCGGCTTCCAGCTGGGCCGCCCGCTGCCGCTGCACTTCCTGCGCCGAGCCTCCAAGGTGGCAAACGTGAGTCTGGAGCAGCAGGGGATTCTGGGAAAACTCCTGATGGGTCCATCTAGGCCTGTCACGATAACAGATTTTGCCGGGCGATAAAAATTCTTGCGATAAACGATAATATTGTTTGAAGACCTTTTTACATTGATTTAATGGAAATTACGTGATAATACATGCGATTTCCTGCCAAAGATAGAAACACTTTACTTTCAAAAGACACTGAACACTGGGACTGATGCACAAAATAAATAACACAACCAAAACCAAAAATAAAATAGATTCTCAGTCTCCATTAACAATAAATGTACTTGAATAAAAACTAAACAACATAAAGCCAAAGTGGAAATAAATGCTGCATTCAACCAAAAGACTGCAGATTATGAAGTCTGTATATTATATTGGCCTTCAGTAATAATTAGATTTAAATAGAGAAGAATCCGACTGATTGATGCAAAAGTTCAAACTACAGGATTTATTCCAAACGACAATCTTAGAACGTTATTCGTTCTGAGATTGTCACTTGTGTGTTGCTGTAGATCGTTGTGTGTTGCTGTAGATCTTTGTGTGTTACTGTGGATCGTTGTGTTGCTGTGGATCGTTGTGTTGCTGTGGATCGTTGTGTTGCTGTGGATCGTTGTGTTGCTGTGGATCGTTGTGTTGCTGTGGATCGTTGTGTTGCTGTAGATCGTTGTGTGTTGCTGTAGATCGTTGTGTGTTACTATGGATCGTTGTGTTACTGTAGATCGTTGTGTGACTGTAGATCGTTGTGTGTTACTGTAGATCGTTGTGTGTTACTGTAGATCGTTGTGTGTTACTGTAGATCGTTGTGTGTTGCTGTAGATCGTTGTGTGTTGCTGTAGATCGTTGTGTGTGCTGTAGATCTTTGTGTGTTACTATGGATCGTTGTGTGTTACTGTAGATCGTTGTGTGTTGCTGTAGATCGTTGTGTTGCTGTAGATCGTTGTGTGTTACTGTAGATCGTTGTGTGTTACTGTAGATCGTTGTGTGTTGCTGTAGATCGTTGTGTGTTGCTGTAGATCGTTGTGTGTTGCTGTAGATCGTTGTGTGTTACTGTGGATCGTTGTGTGTTGCTGTAGATCGTTGTGTGTTACTGTAGATCGTTGTGTGTTGCTGTAGATCGTTGTGTGTTGCTGTAGATCGTTGTGTGTTACTGTAGATCGTTGTGTGTTACTGTAGATCGTTGTGTGTTACTGTAGATCGTTGTGTGTTGCTGTAGATCGTTGTGTGTTACTGTGGATCGTTGTGTGTTACTGTGGATCGTTGTGTTGCTGTGGATCGTTGTGTTGCTGTGGATCGTTGTGTTGCTGTGGATCGTTGTGTTGCTGTGGATCGTTGTGTGACTGTAGATCGTTGTGTGACTGTAGATCGTTGTGTTGCTGTAGATCGTTGTGTGTTGCTGTAGATCGTTGTGTTGCTGTAGATCGTTGTGTGTTGCTGTGGATCGTTGTGTTGCTGTGGATCGTTGTGTGACTGTAGATCGTTGTGTGACTGTAGATCGTTGTGTTGCTGTAGATCGTTGTGTGTTGCTGTAGATCGTTGTGTGTTGCTGTAGATCGTTGTGTGTTGCTGTAGATCGTTGTGTGTTGCTGTAGATCGTTGCGGCCGCTCCAATCTAAATCCAGGATTTGTCCAGACTGGGAGCTGAACGCAGCCTGTTGAATGTGACCGGGAGCCAATCAGAAAGCGCGGATTCCCCTCCTGCTTTAGGAGGGGAATCATGGAGGGGATCCCAAACAAATATCCTGACAAATATTTCTAAATTAACACACAAAATCTGTTATGTTGATTGCAAAGAAGCACAAAAACAATCCTGGATGGACTGATTAGTGTGAAAAGATGTTCAATATTATATTTTAAGTAACAGTTATTGATGCTGAAACACCAATTCATTGATATTTTAACCATTTAATAGTTTTTATCCAGACGTTCTGGCCCAACAGGCCCTTTAAGAACGTTCTGGTTTTTGATCTGGACCCAAATGGAAATGAGTTTCATGTCCTGATATTCGGGATAAAACAAGAGAATCCTGTTTTGAATGTAAACAAGAATGAAGATATTTGGAGGTGGAATGATGTCACAGCACCAGCAAAGATTCTGTGATGTCACTGGCGATGCAGTCTGTGATGTCATCAACTGCAGAATCGTATGTAACACAATTCTGCATATTTGTCATTGCTTGCAATACCCCTGACCAGTTCAGACGCCCGCAAAGCACTTTCCAATCGACCGTTCACTTCGTTTCGAAATCGACAACTTTAGTGATTTTACTGGAATAAAAATGTCTCAAAATACAGAAAGACACCAGAACCGCAGACTGGCCCACCTGGAGGAGGAGCTGGAAGAAATCAAATTCCAGCTGCAGAAACAAACGGAGCTCAAAGTGGGATTTTTCAACAAGGCCCACAGAGCAACTGAGGAGCTGAAGAGACTCCAGAGATACACTGACACTGAAACACTGAAAGTTGTTGCTATTGCTTGTCAGGCTCACTTCAGTGTGGAAGACCTGGATAAAGAGGAGCTGCAACAAAAATACGAAGATTTAAAGGTGTCTCAGTTCCACATCCAGGACGCACTGCTGGCAGAAATGCATGATGAGAAGCAGCGAAATAAAGTCCTGGAAGACAAGCTGGATGACCTGAAGGCTTCGTATGAGGAGCTGCGCCGTAAATACGAAGCAGACGTTGGTGATGAGGCAAAGCTACATGAGGAACAGAGCCTGGAGAAGCTCAGAGTGGAGAAAGACAACATCATACATGACATGACCCAAAAGATCGACCTCCTGCAAGAAAATGAAAAACGTTTACAAGCCGAACTTGAGGAGAGCAAACGTGGAACAAACGAACAATCAAAATTAATAAACGAGTTAAAGCAGCAGGCGGAGATTTACCAAGACAAAATAAAGAAAGCGGAAGCTGCACTTTACAAAGAAAGAAAAGAAAATGTCATCCTTGGATTAAACTACACTGTATTGATTGAACAATTTGAAAAGCTGGAGACACAGAAAGAAACTCTGATGGAGAAATCAGAGGAGGACACGGCGCTGGTGGAGAAAATAAGAAAGGAGTACGCCATCCTCCAACGCAAAGCAAACCAGGACGCCAAATTCCTGAAGAAAAACGCAAAGATTTTAAAGAAAGAATTGGATAAGAGCAAAACATTTTACAACAAGCTCAAACTTAAATATAACTTGGATATTACTGGATTGAAGGAGGAGATGGAAAGATGTAAACAGAAAGTACAACAAGAGAAAGACGCCTCATTGCAATCAGCGACTGAGAAGCAGCAGCTCATCGACAGCCTGCGACAGGAAAACGCCGTCCTGGAGGAAAACACACGGCGAGAAATCCAGGTCCTCCAGGACAAGGACAGAAATGCACAGGATGAACTGGAGACGCTCAGAGTTTTGTTCAAGGAGCTGCAGTGTTCTTACATTCATGATGTTAATATGTTGAAGACACAGGCAGAGCAGTTCCAGGAAGAAATAAGCAAAATGAAGCAAGAATTGGAGACAACCAGAGATCAACTGCAGCCAGAACACTGAGGAAGATCAGCATGAAGATCAGGAAACTACAGTTCACAACAAGAGGAGGAAAAGAACCGGGTCGACGGTTATGGATTTAGTCATCTTATTTCCTCGGAGGAGGATTTAGCAAGAGAACCAATACCAGGATGTTCAAATGATCTGGAATCCATACAAGGCGACATCGATGAGGAAACCATCCAGCAGGATTTAGAGACTCCAGATATGAACAGCAAACAAGAAGGAAAGAAGAAAAAACCAAAGACTCCAATTTGGAAAAAAATTCGAAAATCTTTAGATTGAAGAAGACAAAAAAAACAACAACAGGAGTGAATTCAATAAAAAACGAGGCCTGTGGCGATTCGGCCTGTTATGATAACAGATTTTACTGAGCGATTTAATCGTCTCAAAAAATTATCGCGATAAACTATAATATTGTTTGAAGATCTTTTCACACTGATTTAATGGATATTGCGTAATAATACATGCGACTTCCTGCCACAGATAGATACACTTTACTTTCAAAACAACACAGAGAGGAATCCTGAACAGCTGACACGGTGCAACCCGAAGTCCAGCAGACATCGGAGATGATATGTGGAAACATGAATGTTTAACCAACATTTCATGCAAAGAAAATATAAATAACTCGGGAGGAGTTGGAGCGAAATTTCCACCAGAAAACCTGGTAAACTTTTCAGCTGTTCTTCGTTAAGGTGACATAAAATGGTTATAATGATTTCATTCAGTCAGACTGACACTCGCTACATGCATTGCTGGTAGATGTAGTAAGGAATGATTAAGGTTTGCCTTCCTGTCACCAGAGCCGATGCTCAGCTCATAACGCCACCTCACCTTCTGAGACCAAACTTCATTTCTTCAGATTTCACACTGGAAACATTCAGATCAAACGTTATCATCCTTTTGTCTCGGCAGGTTGGAGTTAAAACTAACTACATCATACTGCGTCTCAATTGTTTGCAGCATTATTTCAAAATGGCGACATTTCAACAATATTGAACAAGGAACATCTCTAATTATCATTAGTCATAATTATTAGTGTTTTTTTTATCACTTATTGTGACAGGCTTATGCTGTGAAACATTTTAGACAATAATTTGATTTTAAATAATTGAATTAATGTTCTGCACCTTTTGTCCGATGTTGGATTTTTGTTTTTAAATCAATTCCTGTTAATTGCGTTTTTAAGATGGCTGATCAGCCAGAGAACGCGCGTCGATCGTTTAGTCCAGTCTGGATTAGGAGTTCTCCGGGGTTCTGGTCCGGTCTGGATCGGTGGTTCTGACTGTCTCTGTGTCTCAGACCGACGTAGAGAAGCACACGCTGGCCAAGTACCTGATGGAGCTGACCCTGCTGGACTACCAGATGGTCCACGTGCGGCCCTCTGAGGTCGCCGCCGCCTCCCTGTGTCTGTCCCAGCTGCTGGTGGACGGCCTGCCCTGGGTGAGTCACCCTGCCTGTCCTTCTGTCTGTCAGCTTCAGTTATTCCAGCTGGAAACCAGAGATCAGGATGACCTCTGACACAGATCAGAGAAACTTTGATTCCTGCAGCGTCGGACTGACAAACAGCCCAGAACCTGCTGCTGGAGTTCTGACTAGAACCAGGAGGACAGAGACGCCGCCTGGTTCTAGTCCTTCACTGAGAAACTTTAAACTACTGCTGGTAGTTTATAAATCACTGCTGCTGTACCAGCCTTCCAGACCGCTCAGGTTCTGGTTCTGCTTTGCATCCAAACACATTTCCAGGAAACAGAAAACAGCTGAAACATTGAGTTAAAGCTAAAACCCAGCTGGTCAGTCGTTTTGGCACCAATAAATGGGACAAAAATGTTTGTTCCTGGTTTCTTTACTAATGAATGTTTTCCTCAGTCGCCCACGCAGCAGCACTACTCCACCTATGACGAGGCCCACCTGCAGCCAATCATGCAGCAGTTGGCAAAGAACGTGGTTCTGGTGAACGAGGGGAGGACCAAGTTCCAGGTGAGTCCAAGACGTCTAGCCGGCCCCCGGTCCCTGTACCCCGGCTGGAGGATGATCTCTCTGTCTCTCTCTCATCCTGCAGGCGGTGAGGAAGAAGTACTCCAGCAGCAAACTGATGAAGATCAGCCTCCTTCCTCAGCTGAACTCCTCCATCATCCAGAAGCTGGCGGCTCCTCTGCTAACGGAGTCCTGAGACCCGGGAACGTTTTCCTGTACTTTAACTGTTTGCACTTTAGTTTTGGATTTGTTCTCTTGCATATTTGATAAAATGTTTTTATAAATTTTCAGAGTTTTGTAGTTTTCTTCAGGATCTTGTTGTACCTTAAACTGTATTGTGAACATGAGATGCAAAGTTTGTCTGCAAGCCACTGCTCTGGAAACAAACTCTAAGACTTATTTTAATTTTAAACCAAGAAGTGGGTTTAATTTTTAAACTGAAATAAAACCGGTTTTAAAAACGAAGTTTGTTTCCTGTTTGATCCTGATTCAGAGCCAAGGCCAGTTACTTTAATTTATGCACAACACAAAAGTAAAACTGACCCATTTTTTTCAATAGTGGGACTAAAATGGAACTTTTGCACATCCTGGTTGGTTTTCCAGCATTTCTCATGTTACTTTCAAGCCCTGCTGGTCTTTAGCTGAAGGAAAACGCCAAACAGTTTAAAGCCTTAAACGTGGTGATTCTGACCCGTTAACAGAATCACGTGATGCTGAGTCATCAGACCGGAAGTGAGAGAGAAACTCCAAAGTGCCTTTCAGCCTTTATGCCTCATTTTCAGGATTTCACCTTATGAAGTATTTTTTAGAAAAGTCATCAACATTATTTCTAACGAATATGAAATGTAACCAATAAAGACAAGTTTATTACCAAAATAGTCTTTATTTGCGTGAGGAGCTGACAGGCTGCAGTGTGCCGGTCGGGTCCAGGTTCTGGCTCAGGTGAACCGGACTCGGCTCAGGTGAACCGGACTGTGCTGGTCGGGTCCAGGTTCCGGCTCAGGTGAACCGGACTCTGCGCATGGAGCCCACGGTGCTGCTCTGGCTGCCCAGTCGTTGAAGTTGTGGTAGTCGCGCTTCTCCAGGATGTAGTGCTGCCCCCTGTAGTTGGGCTCCTGGTACAGCACCCAGCTGTGACGGATCGGACAGGTCGGTCAGGTCCAGAACCTTTGGAGGCTCTTTACGTGGTTCTGGCTCTTTCCATCTTTCCTTTCTATGTATTCATTAATAACTATTTGGTTTTAGCTGGAGAACTAAATGTTTCGGTTACTAGCTAAAGCTTAGCTAGCTCAGTTTGAGGCTAAATCTTTAGCTAGCTAATTAGCGGATGCTTATCTGTTGACATCGCATTAGTTCGCTAAATATTTTCTTCATCAATAATCTTAAATTTAAAATGTAATTCAACTTTTAGCTAGCTAAATATTTAGCTGGCTAACTAAATATTAAGTTTCAAGCTAAGTGTTTAGCTTTCTAGCTAACTTCTGTGTTTTCCTCTGTGTGTGTGTGTGTGTGTGTGTGTGTGTGTGTGTGTGTGTGTGTGTGTGTATTTAGCTTATTAAATTTAGTTGTTCAGTTTAAGGCTGTTGATTCTCTATTTATGAACAATATTTCTGCATTCATCTTTGCTTTGGAGAAACTCCTTTGACAAACATTGACCTATTTTTACTTGAATGCAAAACTTTCAGCCCAATTTAAAATATTCCTTTTGTATATTTTGAGCAGATAAAGTAAAAAATGGCACAAAGATTGTGAAAGTACGGTAAAGGATGTGTGATGCTGTGGGTTGTTAGAATGGAGGACTTCATGAACTTGTTGAAAAACCACAACATTTTATATCAAATTTGGTGATCTCTGACAGGAAACTGAAAGTGGGTCATCTGATCTTTCTGCAGGATTGAACCTCCTGAAGAGAGAACCCAGATCTCTGGACCCAAAGGTCAAAGATATCATAGCTTATTATTAATCAATTATCCATTAATCTTATTATTTCTGATGTAAACTGGACCTGTCAGGTCGGTGGACTTACGCTCCTCCCAGGACACGGATGGATGCCACTCTGTTGAGGTTGTAGCGGCTCAGCAGGTTGGGAATGTCATCCTGGATCTCCATCTTCTTCCCGGAGAAACCGGCTCGCTCGAACAGCTGCCTGGGAGGATTGTTGTCCTGAGGACCAGAGACGCAGCGCATCAGGGAGGAAGCCGACACATTTAGAAATCAGGTAAAACGATGTGTTAGAGGCTCACCTGCTTAACGGCGCGGACCGAGGAGACGTGGTCCACCTGGGCGCACCAGCGGTCGTAGCAGTTGTACTCCCCGCGGTCGGACATGTCCCACAGGTACTGACGGCCCCGGTAGTTCTCCTGCTCGAACCCGACCCATCTGCCAGACACGTCACAGGCTAGATGATGATGAGGTCCTCTCTTCTTCGATAGACCGACATTTTAAGACAGTGGTTCCTAAACTTTCTCACATCTCCTTTGAAAACTCAGACAAGGCTACAAAATCTATAAAGTAACAGAATTTCACTCTGACTTACGGCTTGAGGAGCCGACTTCACTGGCAGCCAGTCAGGAAGACGATCAATAGCCTATTTAATAAATCAATAGCCTATTTAATAAATCAATAGCCTTTTTAACAATAAAAGCTATTGTCACACAATATCATTTATTTTAGGGCAATATTTCTATCCTCAAGAAGTTTTCTTAACTTTCCGCATATTTTATAAAAAATTATTGAAATACACATTACATTAATCAAAACAAAATTACATTTAGGATTTCAAAACTTGTTGGGTTTCCTTTTTTCCTATTTTTTTCTTATCGTTCTCCAGTAGCGCCCCCTGGCGGCCCTCCCTTTGAAAAACACTGTTTTAGGAGACGGACCGGTTCTGGTCAGTAGTTCTCGGTTGCGTTGACCTTTGGGAAGTTCCCACAGTGTTCTCAACGTTCAGGTTCTGCCTGAAAAGGCGAACTTACGCTCCGCTGTCCACCTGGACGGAGTTACATCTCTCTGGGAAGTTCTTGTCGCTGATCCTGGGACAGTCGGAGTTCAGGTCCAGTCGTCTGCCAGCGAAGTTTCGCTGCTCAAAAAGGGTCACCTGTTCAAACAGTGACACTCATTGGTTTCATTCAGCTGTTCCAAAGAGTTCTGGATCAATGGTTCTGCAAACTTTTGGATCTTTTTGAGATTCTCTTCAACTATCAGCTGGTTTTTCATTGCAAAGTTTGTTAGAAGTATCTCAACCTGTGCAGAATATTCCTCTGAAAATGTCTGAGCTGAACGGAAAGGCAAGATCCACAGGAAAACTCTCCAGAACCTCAAAGATTTTAGGAAATTCTGGCTGAAAATGTGAAGAAATTATTTTAATAAACTCCTGGGTCCAAATGGGTCAAACCAAATAACCAAAGTTCTTCTGCTAACAGGCAGGTTTAATTCTAACAAATTAATTAAATAATTTGTTAGAAGTAGTCAAATCAAGCTGTCACGTTAAACAAATTTAAATAAATGAAGTTTAACTTGTGTAACAGATGATCAGATTTTTTAAGGTGGCGCTGTGTCTCGGCTGGACTCACCCTCCCAGTGGACCCGTAGAAGGCACGTTGGAGCACAGACCCCAGTTTGCTGCAGACAAACAAACCATTTTATTCAGAAAAACAGACAAATATTAAACTCTTCATGTTTTGGAGCCTGACTGGACTCTGAAACCGTCGTTAGCTCAGGTTTCATGGTGTCTTTCTCCTCATCCTCAGCCGGGGTGATTTGGTGGAACTGTTGCGGGCCCCCGTGGCGCTGCGGGCCCCGCCGCTGTGGGCCCCGCCGCTGTGGGCCCCGCCGCTGTGGGCCCCGCCGCTGTGGGCCCTCGGGACATACCTGGTTTGTTGGGTTAATCCTGGGACCTTAGTGAAGATGTTCATGTCAGCTCGGCGAGGCAGCCAGAAAGTGCCTTAAATATGTCACGTTGATGCAGTGCAGAGCTACCAGAAGGCTCAGGTTGCTCCTGATGCGGCCGCCGGGGCCCGCGGGGCCATTCATATGCTAAACACACACTCCTGATGCCCCCGAGTCACAGGATGAATGAAATAGAAACACAACGAGCGCGGAGTGCAGCGCCAACACTTTGGGTTTGAACATTTCAGCATTTTCTCTGAAACAAAGCAGAGAGAAGGGCCGTGATGGCGGCGGGGCCCGCTGCTCCTGGAGCCTGGATTATTCACAGGAACCCTGGAGAACGGCGCAGGACGTCCTGACCAAACCGAGCCCAGCTCACCCTTCACATGGCCCCCAAAGCTGGTGCTGTATCTGACTGAGTCAGCATCACATCTAATCACTTCACGTTCATCAACAGTTGGTTTTTTATCTGAAAATAATTTCATCAATATAATACATTCAAATATAGAAGATTAAAATGAGTAAGTTTTGGTTCACAGGAAGAATATATTCTCTCCAGGTGTGACATTTCAGCAAAAATGTCACACCTGCGACCCCTGCTGGCATAGATTAGTGCCTGCAGTATCCTGTTGACCATATATGGACAAACCCTTCTGTTTACCTCTATAGGAGCATTTTAATAAATAAGAATGTCGTTAAAGAATTAATATGCTTCATTACTTTAATTAAAACAATGAAACTCATTATAATTATTACACACAGTGAAGTATTTTGATGTGTCCTCATAACAAACATTGACATTTTTGCGCTAATTCATAATTGTGAGTTTATTGCAATTTGAAACAAATAAATGTCAAAACTGTTAAGTGATGCTAACTCTCACCTGCAGGTGGCAGCATTTCTTTTAGGTAGATAAGCCGTTCTATTCTGATAACGACTGACTGTACTCTTAAGAGAAGAAAAGGAACATTGTAGCGCAGCTAGCTCCTGCTGGAAGTGAGTAAAACAGCAACTTAAATTTATTTCAAACATTTTTTGATTGGAAAAATGACAAAAACAGACACAACATCCCGGAGGGAGAGATTTTTGTTCAGGTTTGATTTAGGGATCAGATTCTGTCAGTAGGAAGTGGAAGGGGTGTACTTTCTTTTTCCTCAGGCCTGCAGAGCATGAAGCCATGTTGAATGAACACAGACATTCAGTTTGCTTACAGTGTTAAAATCCCTCCATTCTCCATCAGATGTGTTTGTCCAGCAGATTTACTGTCACACTCCGCTGGCTCCCAATGCCGCACCATTCAGAGAGAGAGGGTGTGTGTGTGTGTGTGTGTGTGTGTGTGTGTGAATAGTGGAAAAGGTCCTGGATGTTTCACTCCGTTGTGTTTGTTGCGCTGGCAGGGAAGAAGCTTCAGGACTCTTCCTGCGTCCCGGAGACGGATGAGACAAACACGGCAGGTCAGACGTGTGTGTGTGTGTGTGTGTGTTTGAGTTTGTGTGTGTGTGTGTGTTTTAAATGTCAGGCGGTGCCTCAAACCCAACACACTCCTTCATTTTCCTGTTTCAGTTAGATTCTAGAGCTGAGGAGAGACCAGCAGTGTGAAATGTCTCTGTGGACAAACCGGGTCAGGAAGTGGGACACGCCGTCCCACTTCCTGACCCGGTTTGTCCCACAGATGGCTCAGATAAATCTGCTGTCGCCACACATCAGGGCCTTTCTGGCAGTTTGGTTGCGTCGGTGATTAAGTCCAGCTGCATGTCGCCTGTCCTGCAGGAGTGAAGGAAGCGAGCGGGGACGATGCTGCGGACAGGAATGCATCTTCTGGCGCTGGCGCTGTGTGTTTCAGCTGGTGGAGACTTTGACTGGGCCAAAAATGAGAAAACCTCTTTCTACTACGGGACCTTCCCAACTGGTACGAACTGGTAGGACGGAGAAACGAGTTACATTTCTGTTGTTTTCCAGTACAAATCTCTTGATAAACGTCTTTCTACTTATCATAAAAGCTTAGTGATAAAAAGATGAATACTTTGAGTCCTGCTGAATATTTTCCATGGTAAGAAAAATGATGTTGGTAATAATTTTACTTTGATCTCAATCTTTATCAGCTGAACGTTTTCAGGATGATCTGGGAGAAATATTCCTATCTTTCCTCAAGCATTTGGTCTTTTTTGATTCAAACTTTGGACTAAATCACTGAGTGTGTCTGGATTCATTATATTTAATCTAGTTCCAGGAACCAAAACAGGAACTATTGAGCCGCCTATTTGGGGTTGTGAACCCGGACCAGAACATTTATTTGTTTTTTTTTAGCAGCTGAAGTTTAGCCTGCTTTAATTGGAGCTTTAAAACTGTTATTATTGTCATTTTTGATGAACCTGCAGGTTTCTCCTGGGGAGTCGGCAGCTCAGCCTATCAGACCGAAGGAGCGTGGAATACAGACGGGAAAGGACTGAGCATCTGGGATGTTTTTGCTCATAAAAAAGGAAGAATCTCCTCAAACGAAACGGGAGACTCTTCATGTGAAGGCTACTACAAGTTCAAGGTGGTTACACGATTCTCCAAATGGTTATTATTATTTCAGAATTATGCAACATTCGTTTAGTTTTTAGTGTTGCTAAATACCTTTAAAGATGTTCTTGTTCAGGTAAATGTTCAGCTCTTTATGTCGTTTTGGATGAGAACATTACTCTGATCAACACAAACGCTGCAGATCCCAGAATGATACGAACTTCAAGCAACAGAAAACAGAGTCATGCTCAGAGGAAGTTCAGACGAAGCAGAATTTATTGACAATAATACAAAATGCAGCTAATTTTCTCACTATGTCATCTATAATAGAAGAAAAACATTTAACTCATAAATGTTTGGAAACATTCTTGTTTTGTTTGGGATCAGAAGATCAATGTGAAACAATGTTTTTGTCTTTTAGGATGACATTAACCTGATGAAGGAGATGAAGCTGAATCATTATCGCTTCTCCGTTTCCTGGCCCAGGATTTTACCCAGCGGCTTGAGAAGTAAAATCCCACTTTGGCCACTTTACCTGAAAATAAAATGATTTCTCAGACATTTTCCTAACCAAGAGAAATCAAAACTTCTCCAGTCAGCAGAATTATTGGCAGCAGTTGAAGGTGATAAAAACTCAAATGCAGCAGGAGGATTTTCATATTTGTTCACTTCCTGGTCTGTCCTTTGTCCCGCCTCCACATTCTTTCTGTCCAATGGGAGGAAAGATTGTCATGGCATTGTTTACAAATTATAGTCCACTTAAAAAAAAAAAGCACCAAAAGAAAACAGAAGGATACTTTTCTGGACCACAGGACTTTCCTGGTGTGAATGCAGCCTAAAGCAATCTGAAAAGTGTGGCGTGCATTTATAATTAGCTCTAATAATTATAAATGCAGGTGTATCTGTAGGTCTTTAATGTATTTTGCTACCGGCTTCTCAGTTTGATTTGACTAGGCCATTTTAACCCCTGATCTGCTTTGAGCTGAACCATCCCATAATGCCTGTTCAGGCTGGCCGTCCCGTTGGAAGGTGAGCCTTCGCCCTGGCTCAGCGCTTCTGCAGCCTCCAGGTTTTGTTCCATACAGCTTCCCTGTCCCAGAGCATGATGCTGCCTCCGCCGTGTCCTGCTGTGGGAAGGTGTGTCTGTCACTCTGGACAGTTTGGGGATCATGCAGTAGGGAATCAAACTGAACTCAGACAGGACACCTTCACCTGTCATCACTTTGTCTGCAGATTGCAGAATATTCAGTTTCTCCAGAAATATGCTTTATTTGAAATACTTTCACATTTTTCTTGTTTTTGGATCCGTTTGTGTGTTTCCTGACATGATGTTTTGTTCAGTCAGTGAATGAAAATCCCTGTATAATATTAATGCATAAATGGCTGATGATGATGTAACTTCCTGCAGGTGAGCACGTTAACGAGAAAGGAATCAGGTATTACAGCGACCTGATCGATTTGCTCCTGGACAGCAGGATCACACCTGTGGTCACTCTGTACCACTGGGATCTACCTCAGGTGAGTTCTTCCCGCCTGTCCGACGCGTCGGTGTGGGCGGAGCCATAACCAGGATGTCGGCGTTCCCACAGGTGCTGCAGGACAAATATGGCGGCTGGCAGAACGCCAGCATGGTCGGCTACTTCAATGAATTCGCCGACTTGTGTTTTGAACGTTTTGGGAACAGAGTGAAGCACTGGATCACCTTCAACAACCCCTGGGTGAGTGGATGGTGCGTTCACTGACCGTGGGAACGTCTGGACTGGGATCTCACTGAGGGGTTCTGCTTCTTTCCAGTCCATTTCTGTGGAAGGATACGAAACGGGGGAGCACGCCCCCGGACTGAGGATGAGGGGCAGCGGAGCTTACAAAGCGGCTCACAACATCATCAAGGTCAGTCTGGGTCCAGATCGCTCCAAAAGCCGACTCGGCCATTGTGACCCTGAACGCAACGCCGTGGGTTCAACCTGGAGGTTCAGCCATTAATCAGGATCTGGTTCTGATCCAACATGACAGCGACTAAAGAAAAGCCTCAAGGTTGAAACTGAAGCTGCTGATCTGTTTGATGGTCTTCAGTTTAGAGTTCAGCCTCCAAACTGAATTCACTAAAACCAGATTCAGACTCAACTTCAACTTGTTCCCTTAGACCTGAGGTTTGATTTGGCCTCCAGTGACTTGAAAAATGACTTGTGAACCTCTCTTTATGCTGAACTGTGAAGTTTTCTCCTCATGTATTTCAGACTCGAAAACTTTGGGCTTTAAATTAGTTGCAGAAAGTGGAGCTTTGTGTTCAACAGAAATAATTTGATTGTAATGTTTCATAATCAAACATATTTAGAAATGTTCCAGGTCTAAAAACGAGTTAAAATATGAACAGAATAATAAATACATCTTTGTTTTACTCTTTTCGGTGCTTCGTTTGTTTCCAGGCCCACGCTGAAGTCTGGCACACCTACGACATGAAGTGGAGAAGCAAGCAGAAAGGTGACGGAGTGAACCGACCCGATGCTTTGGCTCTGGGTTCTGCTCAGTAGTTAACTGGTTTTCCGCTCGGCTCAGGTCTGATCGGGATCTCCCTGACCGCTGACTGGGGCGAACCGGTGGACGTGTCCAACCAGCGGGACGTCGAAGCGGCGGAGCGCTACATCCACTTCTACCTGGGCTGGTTCGCCACGCCGCTCTTCCACGGAGACTACCCAGCGGTCATGAAGGAATACATCGGTACCTTCAGGCTCAGCCATGACCACATGGCCAACCTGATGGAGTTTTCAGCAAACAGGCTTTGATTTTCCTTAAATGTTCCTCAGAAAATGGCCGACTGAACACGAACAGACATTAACGCCTGAATTTACATGTTGTTGCTTTTAATCAATGTTAAATAAATCAGTAGGCCTCCCACAACAACACATTGTACTGGGCGATAAATTACTGCGATAATGTTGTTTTGAGACCATATTCAAGTAATATTATGGTATAATGATCCAATAACACATTCTCAAGTATCAATAACTTTAAATGGTTCTTCAAAAAAAGATTTAGTTGAAACCAAAGAACCAGAATGAAAACTTTTATTGTCCAGTTTTTGGTAGAAAGAGAAAGTGGCCCGACTCTGGTTCTGAGTGGCTCTACTCGGTTCCCTAGGGTTTCCGGAGGTTGTTGATCTTTGTGAAGGCAAATGGCAGTGACTGAATTTATTTTAATTTATTGTGAAATTAATTGATTAATTGGCTTTTCACTCTTACTGTTGTTTTACTGGTGCTATTTTTGGGTTGCTTATGAAGCTAATTCAGTAATGCACTATGGATTAAAGGTCAAAATGGTTTAAAATAAACTGATTTGGACATTAAAAACTGGCATTTTAACAAAAGTTTGGGCACTTTGAGCATAAATTATTCTGATAGTCCTGAATGTCCGACTCATTCAGCCTCAGCAGCAGGAATCAGATTTTCATGTTTTTCGGTGCCAAAGTTACAGAAACTAGAAAACCTGGAGAAGAACTGATAACCCGACGTCTGGATTTGCAGGCAGGAAGAGCGGCCAGCAGGGCCTGGGCGCGTCGCGGCTGCCCGTCTTCTCGCCTCAGGAGAAGAGCTACGTCCGTGGCACCGTCGACTTCCTGGGCCTCGGACATTACACCACCCGCTACGTCACCCAGAAGAACTACCCATCCGGGTTTGGGGACAGTTACTTCGCAGACCGGGACCTGGCGGAGCTGGTGGACCCGAAGTGGCCCGACCCTGGTTCTGAGTGGCTCTACTCGGTTCCCTGGGGTTTCCGGAGGTTGTTGAACTTTGTGAAGGTAAAGCAACAAAATCATCTGTTTCTTCTAACCAGCATGTTGTAGATATAAACGGGTCATGACTGTTTAGACCTTGTTTCTTCAGTTGTAAGCATCATAAAGTAGATTTTGTATGTTTTTAAAAATCTAAATCCAAAACAGTTTCATGAACAGAAAAACATTTGAATCTGCGGGATGTTGCATCTGTCAGGCCTCGGTTTGTTCGTTTGTAGCTGGAGGCCAGAAGAACCGGATCAGGAGGTTCTGTGGTTCTGGATGGGAAGATCTAACCCTGAATCATCCGTGTGATCTCACTGACAGACCCAGTACGGAAACCCCATGATCTACGTGACGGAGAACGGCGTCTCGGAGAAGATGCTGTGCACCGACCTGTGTGATGACTGGAGGATGCAGTACTTCAGGGAATACATCAACGAGCTGCTGAAAGGTGGAGACGCTTTCTCCTCTGTGTGGAGCAGGAAGCTGACTGGCCGCCTCATCGTCTTTCTCTGTTTGGACCCTCAGCCATTAGAGACGGCGTCAACGTGAAGGGTTACACCGCCTGGTCTCTGCTGGACGGCTTCGAGTGGGACGAAGGCTTCTCTGAGCGCTTCGGACTCTACTTTGTGGACTTCAGGAACAAGAACAAACCTCGCTTCCCAAAAGCTTCGGTCCAGTTCTACAAACGCATCATCAGCTCCAACGGCTTCCCCAACCAGAGAGAGGTGAGTCCTGGCGGCGCAGCCTGATCCAGAAGCAGCTGCTGACTGGTCCTCTGCTTGGTGTCTGCAGGTGGAGAGCTGGAAGAGGAAAGCTGTGGAGACGTGTTCCTCCAGCAACCAGCTGCTGGCTGCAGGTCAGTGGCATGAAAGGGCGGCGTAATGCCCAGATGGTGATAACATTCTACTTTAACTTCCAATACTTTAGGTGTGTTTTAAAACAAGCACTTTTACTCAAGTTAAAATGTTTGTATTGTAAATTTGTTTCTGTTTTCTGAGTATTTTCTCTTTTGCTGGCTGCAGATCCACTGATCGGCCACATGGAGATGGTCACAGAGATCCTTGTTCCCACCGTCTGCACGCTCTGCATCCTCCTCAGTGCCGTCTTCTTCATGTTTCTGCTGCGCCGACGCCTCTGAGGAACGCCCGGGTCGCCTCGTCTGTGGAAGCAAAGCTCAGCAGGAACCAATGAGAGCGGCGTCTTCCTGTTGACTGCCGTGCCGTTCTGTTCCAGTCGGGTCATCAATAAACAGTCAGAACAAGCAGAATATGATTATTAATCAACAAATTTAGTAAGCCTGGTTTACGGTTGAACTAAGACTGGACTGAACTGTTCAAACAGTTTCTGACTGGAAGAAACAACCAGGCTGAATTTTGTTTTTACTGTTATGAGTTTCATCATATTTAAGCTTTTATTACCAGTTGTATTTCTAAATTTGATATGACAATAAAGTGATTTAAATGTGCATATTAAATCTGAGGAATATTTAGAGGGTTTGTGTAGTATATAAATCTAACATTTTATTTATTTTTCATCAAGCAGCTCATTTACCAGGTATGAACCTAACTCCTCTACAGTAGGAGGGTTGGAAAGTTCCAATTATTACACTTAAAAAATAAGTATAATAATCACTTATTTTTTACTTGGTGAAAAATAAATATGAAACAGATTCACTCATTGAAAAAATGATTCCCCTGCAGGTTTAAAATTGACATAATACAAATTACCTAATATTTATCAGCAGGTTCCAGAATAATTACATTTTGATGTGGACAAAAATACAAGACAGGTTCAGCAGCCGACAGGACAAGAATAATAAACAGTGACAGGATGAACTCTTCGAAGGTCTGGTGTTATTTTTAATTGGTTGAAGAAACTGGTAACCGCATTAATTTATGCTGGGATTCATTTTCTGTCCGGTGTAAAACCTGATGAATCCAGCAGGGGGCAGCAGCGCTGCAGGCTTCTCATGAACAGCAGAAGAAGAAGGCGCATCAGTGGCGGGTCCTCTGATTCTCTGGCGCTGCAGCTCATCGAAAGGTACAGTAAAGTTTTATTTCACAGAGTTTTAATCCAGGTCAAGGCTCTTCCGGGTCAAAACTGAAAGTTTCATTAGTTCCAGGTCTTCTCTGGCCGCCGCTGGTTTTTATTTCAGCTCATTTATTTAGTTTGTGTCTGAATTACTGTCACATTCGGTTCAGAAGCCAAACAAAGAAGACTTTTAACACCTACATGTCTCCCGTATCGAGGCGAGTTATCGGAACTAATCCAAATATCGGTTCTGTGTCCGGTTAACATGCTAGTCTTTCTGTTTTTGATGTTTTTTTTAGTGTTTACTGCTTTCATTGTTACTTCTTCTGGAGACTCTCCAACGGTGTTACCGCCCTCTACAGTACAGGCAGGGAATTGCAGTGTAAAAACAAATACTCTGGTTGAAACCAGGAGTTATTTGAGTCAAAGGCAGCAACAAATACAGCACAATAAATAGAAAAATCTAAAATAAATAAGGCACATATAATTAAACTGCAAAATAAAATAATAAAGGTAAATAAATAAAATATATTAAATGAAATCATCAAGTAACAGTGAAATATGTTATTATTCCAAAAAAATAATAATAAATAAAATAAGCACATAAAAAGGAATATAAAATAAATGAAATGTAAGAAAAATTTTAAATAAATTACAATTTTTTTGAAGGTTATAAAATAAAGAATATTTGAAATTACTAAATGAAGCACAAATAAGTCATATAAAATAAAAAGGATCAAACAGATAAATGAATAATGAAATATTTAAATATGTAAAACATGAATTAAAAGTATATGTAAATTATATAAATGAAACAGAAACTTGAGCTGCATAACACAGAAAACTAGTTACTGAATATCGTGACTCCGTTTTCATCTGTTTTCCTCATATTTCATCACTTTCTCATCACTGTATTTCTAGCATCCATCCAACACATCAGATATATTATCGACTCAGTTTGTTTATTCCAGATGGTCCTAATGCTGTGATTGAACATAAAAACCTGATTAAAACCCGTAAATATTCAGCTGTAGTATTTAGCAGTTTGAATCTTAAAGCTGATGGCGGTTGCTTGTTTTCTCTCAGGATTCAGCCGCCATGAACGACCAGCAGGACGACGGGATGAGCGACTTGTCCAACTTGGAGGATGAAGCTTTCCCTCCTCTTCCTCCGCCTTTGTCCCCTGGGGCAGCTCAGTCGCAGGACGACTCGTTTGGAGAAGGTGAGAGTTTTTTAAACATCAGCGGAGATAAACGTGACGTCTGGTGACGGCCTCCTGTCGTTGTGCTGCAGCTGAGGATGGCGAGGTGTCCAAGCTGGCCGACGTTCCGGCTGCCAAGAGGAAAGGAGTGAAGCGGCCGCAGCCGAAGCTGGACTCCCAGAGGTTTCCCATCACGACAGGTCGCCTTCCTCTGGTGGATAATCCAGACGCTCATGACGGATGTTGTTTCCTCTCAGGCTCATTTCAGACAGAGGATTGCCGGCTCTGCGGTCCTTGTTCGCTAGCGCTCACTTTAAGGGCAAAGGTCACGAGGTGAGAAACAAGGTTTGATTAGTCATCATTCACTAAAAAATAAACATCTTAAAGGGATGATCTTTCTATCATGTTGTGAAGTTTTTTCTTCATGTTGCTTTGATTCTTTCATGTTTGAGAAATCCTTTAATCTCCATGGTAACCATTCACTTACAAAACGCCTGTGTGGACCTTTGAGGACTAGCTCCTTCAGACTAGCCAGCAGCAATTAGCAAACAGCTGGTGCAACTGCTGAGCTCGTTATAGCAGCTGCTGCTCAGAGCAACGCTGGTAAAACGTTAAGCTGTTAATAGAGGAGCCATGTTGGGACCACTTCCTGGAGGCGGAGCTTCAGAAAGAGCAGGAACTTCTTAAAGAGACAGAGACCCAATTTCAAGGCACTAAATAACAAAGTCTAATTTTTATAACAGTTGAAGGTAACAGTTGCCTGATTGTGCTCTAAAACATATTCTCCATATCCAGCTGTTTCTGTTGGATCTAAAATGTCTCATCTGTAAAAGACTCACACGTTTAATCGAATCCTCTTTGCTTCTGCTGGACGTCTGGACCCGGCTCTTTGGCAGGCGGAGGACCTGCGGCTGCTCATGCAGAAGATGGAGAACTGGGCCCACCGGCTCTTCCCCAAACTACAGTTTGAAGATTTCATCGACCGGGTGGAGAAGCTCGGCAGCAAGAAGGAGGTTCAGGTGGGTGAAGCAGGACGGGAGAGTTCCTCTGTGCAGGACGGGTTCTAACGGGTTCCTCCTCTCCGCTGCAGACCTGCCTGAAACGGATCCGACTGGACATGCCCCTCACAGACGAAGACTTCATGGACAAACCAGGTGAGTCGGACTGGACCTTCAGGCCGTCACAGTAATGTTCTCTGGGCCAGATTTATAAGTGTCCAAACTTTTATTGTAATGCTTGATTATGTATGAAAATCAGTCAGTTTTAAATAATTTTGACCTTTAACCCCTAATGGGCTAGTGAAGCTAATTAGCTTCTACCTTCTTCACTGGAGATGTATAAATATTACAAATGTTGGTTGATGCATCTGCCGTCTAAGTAGATCAGGAAGTCCTCTGATGCCCTCTAGTGGTTGGAGTTTGAACTTCAGGCAATTCATGGACAGCGTGAAACTTTGCTGATAAACTCATTAAATAATCTTAATGTGTAATAAAATATATTTAGGCAAAAATAATGCTGTCTATATAAGATATATTAAAACACATAACGTGACCATAATTCTAAATTATTCCTAATTTTAGTGGAAACACCAATGGCTATATGTTTAAATTCAGAAACTGATTTCATTTTTGCAAAAACTCTCCAGCAGCTCATGATGCTTTGCAGCCAATAAATTCATCTGCATGTAGAAATCTGTAACACGATGAGAAATCAGTGGTTGCTCACAAACTGACTGTATTTTAAACTTTTGTTTCTCGTTTCCAGGAGCGGAGGAGCCGCCGCCTGGAGTCCAGGATCCCGATCCGTTCGTCAGCCAGGCCTCCTTTCCCGATCCTCCAGGTCCGGTCCACTCCACCCCGGCTTCGGTTCCGGCGCCTCCCACCCTGACCGAGGAGCAGCGCCGGCGGATGGAGCAGAACCGGCAGCGAGCGCTGGAGAGGCGACTGGCCCGGCAGCAGCAGGCAGGTGAGACGGTTCCACCAGAACCACTAGAGGGCGCTCAGAACCCGGCCATCCACCGAACAATACTTGAGGAAGTTTCTGTTTCCTCAGATCCTTCAGAGCCCCAGGCTGACACGACGACAGGAAGTGACCTCACAGCAGATCTCAACGGGTCTACTGAGCAGAACCAGAAGCCAGGAGAACATCTGGACCCGGATCCGTCCGGCAGCACAAAGACTCCTCCACCTGCGGTTTCTGAACCCGACCCTCCAGCAGAACTTCCTACTGAGGAGGAGAAAGGAAGGAGTCCAAGCTCCCAACCCTGAGGTGTGTCAAAAACTGGATCTCTGCAACTGAACCTTCTACCAGAACCAAACCACAGAACCTTCCTGGTTCCTGAGCTGGATCCTGAAAAAGTTCTGCCATTTTAGTTTCAACCGGGATGTTTCTGTTCTGGTCCGGTTCTGGTCCATGGCAGTGGACTGTAACAGGTTCTAGAAAACAACCAGAACGGGTCGGTTCTGTGTTCGAGTGATTTTAATATTAAAATGTCCAATAATAATAAACAGTTGATTTGGATGAAACTGGGTCAGAGTTCATGTTCTGATGGTGAATCGTTTTCCCTCCAGAACCAGAACATTTCTACTAAAACAAGTTAAAAACATTTTCCCACATCTCATTTGTTGGTTTCTGTCGGTTCTGGAGCGTTGGGTCAGAACCTCTACGCCGTCACGGTGCCGGCCCGCGCGGCAGCGTCTGGGTCCATCAGCGCCAGCTCCCGGATCTCCTCCAGCAGGGAGTACAGGTTGGGGGTTCTGCTCTGCCGGAACTCCCGCTCCTCCTTGGAGAGTTCGGGTCGACGCGCCGCCTTCTCCTGCACCTCCCCGGCCAGCCGCACCACCTCCTGCACCAGCTGGCTGCGGCGCGGCGAACCGGGCCGCGGCGAACCGGGCCGCGGCGCGCCGAGGTGCGGCTGGTTGCTGATGACCTGCAGGGTCAGCGTGTCGGCGTGGCAGTTAGAGGAGAGGACCGAGATCCGGACCTGGGGACGGGTCGGAGAGAGTTCTGACATGTTCCCATTTCAACAGTGAGTCTGAGGATACGCTTGACCTTTGACCTCAAGTTTGCACAAAGGAAACAGGCCGACTCTGAAAAACACTTTGGTCTCATCCAAAGGTTCTGGAGCAAAGGTCATCTGAGTTTAACCTCGTTTACTGCTGCAATTTAAAAACGGGTCAGAACCTGCCGTCGGGTCAGAACCTGCCGTCGGGTCAGAACCTGCCGTCGGGTCAGAACCTGCTGTCGGCGCCTCTCTGCCCAGATGAAGGTGTTTCTGGTGGCTCACCGTAATGTGGTCAAACAGCCTGAAGGTGGCGCTGCCGCAGCCAGACGTGGTGGTGATGTGGTCCGAGGAGCGGCGAACCGAGCCGCTCTGCCACTCACAGGTACCGTCCGGGCCGGCCGTCAGCACCAGGCCCTCCTTGTTCCTCATGTAGACCGGACCCTTCACTCCATACCTGGACAAGCAGCAGCACACCTGCAGTCACAGCTGGGAACCGTTTAAAGTCACAGTAACAGCAGTAAAATGACTTGTTTAGTCATTTAGCATTTTCCTAACTGGTCAAATGATGGTCAGGATAATTTTCAAGTCATGAACTATTACAGAATAAATCTAATTTTACTGAACAAACTATTTTTTTCCAAAAATAAACTCAAAATGCTCTGTTCCAAATTATGACAGCAGATTTCTAAACATTTTATGGATTATAAAGATCTGCAGTTGGTCATTCTGTGAATGTGAAATCAAAAACTATTTCAGTCCAAATCATCTTAACAGACAGTTACCCAGGAATCGAACAAACTTTCCTCTTCAGCCTTTATCTGTAAACCATCTTCATTCTGAATCAGCCACAAATCTTCACAGTACGATGAAAACGCTTCAGTTTTACTTAAATATCTCATGTTTTCATATCTAGTCATTCGGCTCTACACTGTCTGCTGGTTTTCATCAGCAGAGATGGTTTAATAGCACAACAACAAATGTAATCTTTATGACACTTCAATACAATTTGCATAATATTTTGGAACACGGTGTAATTCGGTTGCTAGCTAAATAATTTGCTTGGAAGTCATTTTTTTAGCTAGCAAGCTATAAAATTAGCTTCAAAAAATATATTTAACTTGATTACTACATATTTAGCCAGCAAGTTAAATATTTAGTTTGATGAAAAAGTGAAGTTATATTTGTAAAATTCAGTCCGTTTCATTTAGTGGGACCGACTTGACAGAAGTGATGCTACCAGGAAAAAAAGCTTCTGAGGCTAAAAACTTAAGAACATATAACTGTGTCCAGCATGGCAGTGGCAGAATCATGCTGAGGAACCGTTCTGCCAGAGGAACAGCAGACCGATGGAGGAACCTTACTCTGGAATGAAGACCAGCACGCCGTTGTCCCTGATGGAGTAGATGATGGCGTCCGCCACGCAGCGCGGGTCGGTCTCCGGGTCGCGCTCTTTGAAGAAGAGGCACTGGAAGAGTCCGGTGGAAAGGTTCTGGGCTCGCTGGGCCGCCTGCCGACGCACAACAACTCAGACGACATTCAGGAAGCACAGAACCGCCCAGACCCAACGAGCCGCTCACCCGGTTCCTGCTGTTGATGTGCTCTGCCAGCTCCTCCATGTCCTTGTTGCCGGCCGGCGGTTTGCCAGGCTCGGCTTCCTGCTCCAGCTGCAGCGCGGCGGTCAGCAGGCGGTGCACCACCATGTCGGCGTAGCGGCGGATCGGGGAGGTGAAGTGAGTGTAGCGGTCCAGAGCCAGACCTGACGAGCAGAAATGATCCGATAAGGAAGAGCCGAGCAAACTGCTTCCTGATGGCCAACCGCAACTGGTTTACCGTAGTGGTAGAACTGGTCCTCAGGCTGAGCTCCAGTGGAGAAGTACACGGCCTGAGACATGGCCTGAGTGGCCATCATTCTGAGGAGCCGGTTCACCAGCGGGTCCTCGGGGTCCACGGCTCGGTCCAGAGAGTCGGCCAAGGCCTTGTTGGTCCTGCAGGAGCAGAGTCAGGCTGACGGACATCAAACTCCTGCCTTGCTGCTGGTCTCCACCTCTGGCCGGGCGGTGAGCCGGCAGACGGGTGGGGAGCGGACCGGAACCCACCTGGTGTCGATGGAGAACCCCCTGGCCCGGGCCGTGTCCACCAGCTGGCTGAACAGCTCCTGGCGCGGCGGCGGTGGCGCCTCAGCAGGGCCTGGTAGGGGAAGGCCTCCTGGATCTTGCGCGCCACCCAGTGGTTGGCGTAGATCATGCACTCTGCCACGGTCTCATGGAACCTCCAGGGGCTGGCGGGGAACCAGCGCCGTGATGTTCTTGTCCTGGTCCAGCTGGGCTCGGACCTGTGGAGGAGGAGCGAGCAACGTTCTGATCAAATGATCATTTGATCAGATTGTAGCACGTTGGATTCATGTTGATGTGTATTTTCAATTTTTATAAAATATATATATGTAAGAAATGTAATCAATAAGAAATCTCCCAAGGAGAAACGTCCGTCTGCACCTCCACCCCCTCCAGCTCCAGCGCTCCTCCTCGGTCCCTCTGAGCCCGCAGGTGTCTGGCGATGTGCGTCAGCGTCTCCAGCGCCTGGATGAGCTCGCTCAGCTTGGCGTCCCGCTCCTCCGGGTCGAGCCGGGCCAGCTCAGGAACCTGGACCCGTTCCCCGTTCAGCAGCGCCTGGGCCAGCTCGTAGTGCAGCTGGTAGGAGGAGCGGATCAGGGTCCGGCCGAACCACACCTTGGTGACGGCCAGGCTGCGAGCGTCCAGCTCCCACACGACGCTCATGGCGAACCTGGAAGCACAGGACGGCGGTGGGACCGATGGAGACGGCGGTGAGCAGAGAAGCAGAGAGGACCGACCTGTCGACCCCGCCCAGCAGGGAGCAAAGGTCAGCGCTGAGGACAGCAGGCAGCATGTCATAGCGGCGGTCCAGGT